CAAACATTCTACACAAGTCCCCAAAGCAGATCATACCCATGTTTGATTAGAGTGGTTCCCTATGGTTTTATGGTTTACCTAGACCCGGGTGCTAGATACATGGTCTATCTTCAACCACAACAAAGGATGGTACCATCCAAGTCCCCCTTGCAGATTTCAAAAAAAAATGTCATTTTTTCTTTTCACAAGTCTCTATTCAAAAAGGCTCTTCTGAGTCATTTTTTGGGCCAACAAAGGGGGTGGGTGCCCCAGAATGATTTCCTTTTTGTGCCCTTTCCAAGGTTTTCCCCAGGTCCAATATTCTTGCAAGACTTTAAAGATGTTAACGGCCCCTAACATGGACCCTCCAACCCTCAAAACACAGGTCTTGTATTCCTTAACCAAAAAAAAGTAGAACCTAACGATGCACAAATAACAAGAAGGCTCACCTAGACCCTGATGGTAGGGGTGGTGTAGCTTTGGCATGCGTTGACCAAGTTTTGGAGGCGGTTTCCAAACATTCTACACAAGTCCCCAAAGCAGATCATACCCATGTTTGATTAGAGTGGTTCCCTATGGTTTTATGGTTTACCTAGACCTGGGTGCTAGATATATGGTCTATCTTCAACCACAACAAAGGATGGTACCATCCAAGTCCCCCTTGCAGATTTCAAACAAAAATATCATTTTTTTCTTTTCACAAGTCTCTATTCAAAAAGGCTCTTCTGAGTCATTTTTTGGGCCAACAAAGGGGGTGCCCCAGAATGATTTCATTTTTGTGCCCCTTTCCAAGGTTTTCCCCAGGTCCAATATTCTTGCAAGACTTTAAAGATGTTAACGGCCCCTAACATGGACCCTCAAACCATCAAAACACAGGTCTTGTATTCCTTAAAAAAAGAAGTAGAAACTAACGATGCACAAACAACAAGAAGGCCTCCCATGGTTCACCTAGACCCTGATGGTTAGGGGGTGGTGTATCTTTGGCCCAGTTATGGAAGCGGTTTCCAAACATTCCACAAAAGTCCCCAAAGCAGATCATACCCATGTTTGGTTAGAGTTGTTCCCTATGGTTTTATGGTTTACCTAGACCCGGGTGCTAGATGCTTGGTCTATCTTCAACCACAACAAAGGATGGTACCATCCAAGTCCCCCTTACAGATTTCAAACCAAAATGTCATTTTTTCTTTTCACAAGTCTCTATTCAAAAAGGCTCTTCTGAGTCATTTTTTGGGCCAACACAGGGGGTACCCCAGAATGATTTCATTTTTGTGCCCCCTTCCAAGGTTTTCCCCAGGTCCAATATTCTTGCAAGACTTTAAAGATGTTAACGGCCCCTAACATGGACCCTCCAACCCTCAAAACACAGGTCTTGTATTCCTTACCCAAAAATAGTAGAAACTGACGATGCACAAACAACAAGAAGGCCTCCCATGGTTCACCTAGACCCTGATGGTTAGGACTATGTGTTGCTCGTTTTTCGTTTTGTCCATTGTATCCCCAGGGTCTATGTGATCCCCATAGTTGGACTTTCAGGAAGCCATTCTGAAAGATATATCCCAACAAAAAACATATAGACTCCGACATGCTGTTTTGGCAAGATGGATCATTTCTTGGACTAGAAACTCAAATAGATCCTTATACCATTTCAGGGTATATGTTAGCCCTACTTGCAATGCTACTGCAGGAGTTGAGAAAAACATGTTAGCGGGGTCGGCGGAAAGTAAAACAAAAATTAATTTGTGGGGTCATGTTATTATGCCAGTTGTCCATTGTTGGCCATTGTTGTCCATTGTATCCCCAGGGTCTATGTTATCCCCATTGTTGGGTTTTGCAGGCACGCAACTCTTTATTACAAGAAAACATATACCCTGATACCAGTCCAGGGGTAGATGTTAACCCTAGTTGCAATGCTACTGCAATGGTATTATATTTTTTTGTAAAGGTCCATGTTAGTGAGCAAAACATGGTGAAATTGGCATGCAACATGTAGGGTCTATGTTATTATGCCTGTTGTCCATTGTTGGCCATTGTTGTCCATTGTATCCCCAGGGTCTATGTTATCCCCATTGTTGAGTTTTGCAGGCACCCAAATCTTTATTACAAGAAACCATAGGCCCTGATACCAGTCCAGGGTCTGTGTTATCCCTACTTGCAATGCTACTGCACAGGTATTATAAGTTTTTGTTAAGGTCCATGTTAGTGAGTAAAACAAAACAAGGTTAGAATTGCATGCAACATGTGGGGTCTAGGTTATGCCAGTTGTCCATCGTTGCCCATTGTGTCCCCAGGGTCTATGTGATCCCCATTTTTGGGTTTGCAGGCACCCATCTTTTTTAACAAGAAAACATAGACCCTGAAATGGTGTGTTGGGAATTTCTTGAACTGGGAGTAATAAGCCTCTCAAATAGATCCTTATACCATTCCAGGGTCTGTGCTATCCCTACTTGCAATGCTACTGCAGGGGTATGTTGAGTTTTTGTAAAAACCCATCTTAGTGGGGTAAAACATGGTGAATTTAGAATGCAACTTGTGGGGTCTATGTTATGACAATTTTCCATTGTTGTCATTGTGTCCCCAGGGTCTATGTGATCCACATTTTTGGACTTGCAGCTTGTTTTTTTAATGTTTTTACAAGATAAGATAGACCCCGGATCAGCGGACATGCTCACCAGGGTCTACGTTTAAATGTATGATATATGCATACAGGGTCTATGTTTGTTTAAGGTAGAGTAAGTTTCTCGATAGTCATTTCTTGCATGTGGTGAGCATGCAGGAGAAAGGGTGGTCCATGACCAGTTTGTTGCCTTGACTTCACAGAGTTTCCTGGTTCTGTTGCGTTGTGGCATAAGAAGGGGAGGGTTCTTGAAGTAAGCAGGAGCCTGAAGAGCAAACGTGGCGGCCAAGCATCAGTGAAGATGGTTGCTGCAGACGTTTCCATTTGAGCTGATGAGGCCTATGTGAGGTTGACAACTAGCGGCAGCAGCGTGCCGTTTTTTCCAAAGCCCTATTTTGGTCCGTGGGTCGATGTTTGGCTGCACAAGAAGATTGGCCGCAGTTGCCTTTTGATAAAACTTCGAAGCGATAATCGGTCTCTGACTGGTCGGACTGCAAGTCTTGGTACCCATTGGTTTTCTGCCTGTGACCTGCCTTGATAAGGATCAATAGATATTTCCTAGAATCCAAACCATTGTTTCCAGCCCCAACCAATCAGTGATGATGTGTCAAGTCCTCTCATGGATTTGCTCTTGAGATTGAAAGGATTCGCATCATTCCCATTGCCTTTTTTTCATTTTGGGATTGCTTTCAACGCTCGCATACAGGTTTGTGAACACGTGAATTCTTCAAGACCAAACAGTGCTCGAATTTTCCAGATTTGAACATCCCCAAGCCACTTTTGCTTGCGCAGGGCCTTTGTGTAAGAGATTCTGCATCCTTGTCGCATCGTAAACTTGATATGTTAGTCGAGTCATGTTGGTCTCTTAAGAGATTTCGAAAATATTTCAAAATTTTGCACTTCAGCTGAACCAAGGGCCCACATTTAGTAGTGAAATTCGATCATGCATGTATATCCATTTAGTAGAGCTTGAGGCTATGCAAACCGTTTCTTCATTAATTACAAAATGGTTACACAGCCTTCACCTTAAATTCACAGGAGGATGAAGACAAGCTTTTGAAATTGACAAGAAATGGTCAAAACCAAATAGTGCAGACTCAGTTGAGGACATGCAGAAAGCTGTTTCAGTGGATGGTTGTTTCATTGATTCTGCAGTTCAGCGCTGGCCGAAGGCTGACATTCCAACACCTACTATAAAAAGATTGGTGCAAAGCAGCTGTCTACTGTGCAGCTGCAGCTTAAGTAACCTTTGGGCACAGAAAGATGTTTCCCACAGGCGGACGCTTGACTGTCAGCCAGCTGTTTAAATCGAGATTCCCAGAAGATAAGCTTTTGAGATTGACAAGACATTGTCAAAACCAAAGAGTGCAGACTCAGTCCAGGCCAAATCCTAAGGCTGAATTTGGAACATCCTGCATGAAAAGATTGGTACACAGAACTGTCTACTCTGCAGCCGTAGCTTAAGCAACCTACGTGCACAGAAGGATGTTTTCCAAAGGCAGAAGCTTCACTTCAAATTGGGCAGATATGTTGTGTGAAAGCCTGGTCACAAAGATCCCTGGCACCACGGTGCCAGCAAAAATACACCAAGTCCAAGAAACTCTTCGTAGCTTGCCAAAGTTTATGTCGGGAAAGTGCTTGCTCACAAGTTTCTCACTGTAAGCAAAAGATACTGCATGGGCTTTCCTCGAAGCCCGCCAACAAACGGCCTGCGAAGAACTTGCATTGGCCATGTCATTGCAGGCCCATTTGGTCCATACATTGGCCACACGTAGTTCGCTCTTCAAAATGTTACCAGCGGAGATATCAGCGGGGCAAGATTTTTTTCCCCATTACAAGGTGTTGACTTCATCATTTGTATGCTCCTGCGCCCCCAAAACTCGGATTTTTTCTAAGGGCTCTGTTTGTTCTGGGACGTGTCGCCCACTGGTAATCCGTGCCGGTGATGCCGAACACATGTTCATCTCTTGTGTTAAGCGAGGCGAACCAATTAGTCCTTTTATCAGAACTAGAGTATCTTCTCACCATAACAGGTATATCGCCATCGCTTATCCCCAAGAAATGTGGCAGCCATTAGTCACAAGTCCAGATCCTGCATTTTTGGCTGCCGGACCCATGCGGCTTAGCCCCAGCGCAGCTGGCGCTATTTGTGAATTTTTCTCCCAATCGGCATGGGTCGTTGGATCGCATAGATCCATCCATAGAACGTCGTGGGTTGAAATCATGGCAGATTTTGTTTTCCAGTTTGGATACTTTCCGGGTTTCATAAATCAATCCATGACTTTGAAAGTGCTTGTCCAAAGGTTCAAGCGAGCTGCCATGCAACTGTTCCAATCCCACCAGCTGTCCATTACTGCCCTGAGATCTACACATTTGTTGAGTTTTGGATTTTGCCACGTAGCTTCCCTGCACATTTCTCGTTCATTCCATTTTCCGGATCATATCTTCGCTTTCTTGATGTGGTGTGCCTCCAGATTTGCTGCAAAAAATAATCCGCTCAATTTTGTGCCACCTTTACATGAGTTCTTTTGATTGAGTGATGCTTGCATTCAAATTAAATGGCATTCGCCTACGCCGTCTTCGCCCAGTTTCTTAGCTTGGAGGTGGCTGCGTTGTTGGAGAAAAAACAAGTTTCTCACTGTGGTCGGGCAAGGATGTGGAAGGCTTTGGCAGGAACAATTTCGATTTGATTTAGAAGGAGGCTTTGAACACAATTCATTGAAATTGGGGAGAACTTGCCCAAAGCAAAAGGTTCAGACTAGGACATGCAGACAGCTGTTTCAGTGGATGGTTGAGTTGACTCATTGACTCTGTAGTTCAGCGCTGGCCGAAGACTGAAATTCCAAAACCTGCTATAAAAAGATTGTTGCAAAGAAGCTGTCTGCTGTGCAGCTGCAGCTTAAGCAACCTAATTAATATGTGCACAGAAACATGTTTCCCAGAGGCGGGAGCTTGACTGTCAGCCACCTGTACAAATTGAGATTCCTAGAAGATAAGCTGTTGAAACTGGCAAAAAATGGTCAAAACCAAAGAGTGGAGACTCAGTTCAGGCCAAATATTCTACGGGAAATGCCAGGAGTGCCATTCCGCAGCTGGTTGCCGCAGTATTTTGTGCAAAATTTGGACAATGATGTGCATGTCTGGATGTCTTAATGTTTAACTATAGCTTGTACGTTTTCAGGGTGGTAGTGCCTGTAGATGAGAGGAGATTTTGATGCCAAGAGCACGTTGCCAACTGGGGTTTGGCGCAGGCCTGACAGGTTCCAAGACTTCGTGATGGTCCCAGTCACACTTTGACAGCTTAAACACCAACCACGGGTGTGGACGCAGGTTTGGCGTCAAAGGCTTTGGTCCCCACCCACCACAGGCTCAAACCTTTCACCCAGCTGTGTGTACAATGAGGGCCGCCAAGAGCTCTGCAACGCTAGAGACCTGTGATTGCTCTGTTCTTACCATCAGGCGTAAAGCGGCCACGGGACACAGCAGCAGCAGCAGCAGCAGCATTGAGAGATGGTGAGAGATGGAAGGAGCAGAGCCAGTCGACCCAAGGTACCCAAGGTACCCCTTCTTCGAGTCTGACCCATTCTTTGTTGTTTGAGGCCCATCCTGAAGAACCGTTTCGCAGCATACAGTTTTGGCATGTCATCTCAACCAGCTCCCTGGTTTGCACCGTTGTGGTTGGAAGATTCCTGACAAGTTAGTTGGATCGCCTTCCACTTGAATCGTGATATGATCTCCAGCTATTCTCATGGTATGAGACAGATGAACAAGTTTACGCCAACCTGGATGGAGCCTAGAGTGATCCGCAGTATCTGGGATGATGCTGCTTTAAGCATGGCAAGCTCTAAGTTGTCCAGCTTCGACGGGGGTTGCCACACCAAAGGAAAGCATGCTCAAGTTGACCCATATTTTGATACCCCGATACGATTGCTGCCTCATTACATCACGGTAAGGAAGGAAATCCGCGCAGTTTCTGACGGAAACTCCGCTCTCCAGAGAGCTAAGCCAGCTAAGCCAGCTAAGCCAGCTAAGCCCAAGTCTTCTTTCTACCACTTGGAGAGGAAGGACTGAAACTCGGCGAGTGGGATATCTTTCCTTGGCTCTCCAATTTTGCCAAAGGCGAGACAAGGAAATCTAAAAAGAAGACAAGATCTTTGCCATGCAGTCAGAAGTCCGTGTGTGTGTGTGTGCGTGCAAGCCATCCATTGCAAAGCGGGCGCTTCTGCGATTGAAGAGTTCAACACGTAGCACGAGTAGCAATGCCGACAGTATGATGAGGACTGCGGCGACGTCGGTGTGGGCTGTGTCTCTTCTCCTTCTTCTTCTTCTCCTTCTTGAAGATTACTGTGCAAACAGATCTTTCAGAAAACAGCGATTGCCACAACTGATTAAGGTGATCTGCGGATGGTCATGGCCGGCCGAAGGAGATGCTTGCGGATGTGGTGAGGAAAAAGTCCTGGAAGCTTCAACCACCTGACATCTGGGAGAAGATCATCCGGTTGGAATTGGCAATTCGTTGGGTTCAGTAAACTTTCATGGTCTTTCACGGGAGGGTTTTGACAGTTTTGATATGTTTTGACGGGTCCAACTTTTCCTTTTTGGGGAAAAAACAGATGGTTGAGGGCGGTGTTTGGGAATTGGTATCCTGGATGGATGTTCAAACATTCTTAGGATGGTAGGAAAATCCTGGGTTCTTGGTTCTTTACGAGAATGAGGAGAAAGAAGAGAGTGAGGATAATTTCTACACGCACTGTAATGTGTAATATATTGTTACACTATACTAGAGCAAACTGCATATGCTGCATATATATATATATATATATTCATTTGTATTCATGTTTGTGTGTATATGTGTATACAGTATACATAATATACATGTATATATATATATACACCTATACATGCATGTACACATTGATATATGTTGGAATATTTTGACAGTGGCCGTCTTGCTGATGCAGGTGGTGGTTGGTGTTTGGTCACAGCGTTGATTTCTGAAGCAGCCAGCCACTTTTGATTCAAAACCAGCAGAGCAGCAGCTGACTGAACAAAACACACCCCGTATAATCCCATATATCAAATACTACTTTTCCAAACATCACCAATCATCCAAACAAAAATATTCTTAGATTCAAAAGTGATGCCTTACAGCAATTCATCAACCTTCAGTCTTGCAGTTTTTGGGCTTTTGATGAGGAATTACATGGGTATCCGATAGATTCCAGCAGCACCAACTTGCACCAGCACCACACCACCCAGCTGCACAGAGCGTGCGCTAGCGCCAATGGCAGAGGCAGGGCAATTCCTCGAAGAACTGGCTTGTGCAGGGAAAGGCAAACGCTCAGAAAGACTTCAGAAGCATGTTGCTGGAAAGGAATCACCATCTGTCCAGGGATTAAACGGTTTGCTGTGCTTTCCTTTCTCCAGATTGCCATGTTATTTCACTACAGACTGACACAAGCCAGGCGCCGCCTCCGCCACCACCACCGCCACCTGAAGGCGTCAGAGCGGAGGCGCTGTGCCGGCTGACATAGATGAATAGGGTGAAGTATTCCCGACTCCTAGCGGGCGAATTTTCCAATTTTCTCTGGGTATATCATCCGCTTTTTGCTGATTAAGCCATATTGATCCACATATTTGGTCGCAGAAATCAGCATTCTTCTGAGTTCAAAAGTTACAACATGTTACAACTACCTCTTTTAGCTTAGTCACATAAATGTTTGATCAGACCAGCCACACCACTATGTACCGCACTGCCCTGGCCCAGTCACGCTCGGCTGTGCCGGCGGTGGTGATCACCCCGCAAGGGTGGCTCAGGATTTCAGGTCCAAGAAGGATGGAACTGGATATTTATTCCCATCAAACCCATCAAGAGATACATGGGTGACCCATGACATGTCGGCCGAACTCAAAATGGGCCCAAAAGCCAAAAAGTGGGACTTGGTGATAGCAGCTGATAGCAAGTCACAATCTTAGCAGGTTTTCTTTAGGGGATGATTTGAGGCTTCACCTACCTGGGTAAGCAGCCTAGACTTAGGTCCGAGCCAAGGCGAGATAGCGAGTTAAGCGCGGGGACGGCCGGGCAGCGAAGGGGAGATCTGGGATGTGGATATCTTGGCCTCGACCTAGGTTGAATACATGGCAGCAACCATGAAAGCTGCGTTGGTGTTCACGCTTTGCCTGCGTGCCATGAGTGCAAGAAAATGGCAACCTCCTTCTGACCAATGTAAGTTGACAGCTCACTATTTAGACTCATCAGGCATGATTAGCCTTAAGACTTTCAAAAAACCGAGGCATCAACGCCCGCAGCCACCAGCTACGAACGCCTGGATGCAGAGAATGACTGGGCTGCTCTGGGGCAGCGGTCCATGGTGGATGGAACGGACATGTGACTACCCAAAACTGACCAAAATGGTGATTCAACTGACCAGATGTGAGATTTTTTACCGTCGAGACTACGTATAATTATACTGATTCAATCAACAAGTGTGTGGGGATTGATTAAGATAAAAAAAATCGGATTTCAACATGCAAGAGATGGGGTTTGGACCTCCAGCAAAGAACACATGGCAATGGAAATTTCCATGCCATTCAAATTCCAATAAGAGCGTCATCAGCAAACAAGACAGTTTCAATATCAGGTCAGGCTGCTCGGTGGCTAACAATTTTAAAAGCTGGGAGCTTTGTCGAGCCAAATCTGAACTAAGTCACCTGATCCAGGGTCGTTTTCCCGCAAGGCAAGCTGACAAGAGATACAGTCAGAAAGGGACACTAGAAGATTCTTTGGCAGTCCAACCAGGCAATGGAACATCCTTCCATAGTTCCATGATTATTTTCCATTGGTCATCAATTTTTCCACTTAAACACCTTTGAAACACCATCGGATTTTCCACAACCGTCCCTTGAGCTGTTTGCGGATGGTGCCCGCAGGACCAACGCCTGCGCTCCTTCAAACAGGCGCGGGTGAGGTGGAAATGTGGATGGCGAACACGTTTGAACCCCCTGAAATCTGCGAAGAATGTTGGTTGTCAATCATGACAATGGAGAAAACCCAGGAAGGCCGCAATTATCAGAGGAAAACGATCTGGAACTAGATCAACATGGAGTTTCCCCGTTTTCAGGATAGGGTACCAGAAGGAGCTGGATTTTTCCCAAACGAGTTGTATCCAAATCGACCCCATCTGCCGGACTTTGGAAAAGTCTGTGCAGGGCGAATCCCTGGGGCGCGGGGCATACGGAGAAGTGTGTGGAAGCTCAATGCGGAGATGGTTTCTGGCTGACGTTTGGCTAACCAGAAGAACAGTGGCTGATGCAACTTAACTGTGGTTGTGTGGAGCAATTGTGCTATCATTCATCGGAGACTTATCACTATGCACTAACAACAACCCGTAGTTAGCTTACATTCATCAAGTTTTTTGTTGGTTACTATCACCATTTTTGTTTGGTTTGTAATCCCACTTTTGTTGCTTACATTCCCACTTGTAGCGGTTATACATCCAATTTTGCTGGCGATATCCCCATTGTTCTTGGACACGTCCCCCATGATATCCCAATTACTTCAAATGGCATAAATGGCATACCCTCTGATATATACTTTACACTTACTTTACCACAGCAACGGAACATCACCATTTGAATAAATTTACCAAGGAATGGGCAATTTTCCAACTAGCCATGTTTACCAGAGGGTAACTAGGCAACCCCTCATATGTTGCGAACTCGTTAAAGAAGCCACTCTGCATCTGAGTTTTTCAAAATCCATGGATTTCTGCATCCCTGTGTTCCTCCTATGGCTGCAGGTTCAAGGCCATGGTTGCTGGAAAGTTTATGGCTGTCAAGAAGGCACCGGAGATCTGTGGAAGTTCGCTGATTCTGGTGGTGTCACGAATATTGTTGGCATCACATTGTGGACCCAGCGGCTGATGGGATGATGTCATAATTATTATAATGCATTTCTTGTTTTCCATCAAATGATTGTCCCAAGTGTGTGTGCTATTTTTGTTTTTTTTTTGTGGGGGATAGGGACAAATGACGTACCAGCCTGATTTGTGCTTGGGTTATTGGAGAAGAGTGGTCTATGAATGTCTATGAGAGATGGGAAGTTGAGAGATCTGTCGAGAATGGCAGGGGGAAAACTGAACTGAGACTGTGCGAAATTCATCGCTTTTGGCCAGCGAGTCAGTAGCTGTATCCATTTTTTGGAAGTGGGCTTAATGAATTGAATTCCCACTTGTGTTGATGGTATTAAATATACATGCATCCATGACATATATATATATACACATATATTTATTATGTTATGTTATGTTATATTATATAATATATTATATTATATTATATTTTATTATATTAAAGAACTCTGACCGGGTGTGGCTCAGATTCCCCTGGACTTCAGCCTCGGGCAGAAGCAAGCCGAACGGGACTGGCGACTGTGATGGGCTTGGTGGATACCCATAAAATGACAATTTTATATTGGGAAAATGATGGGAACATCGTGGGAAAAATATGGGGAACATGTTGATGAACCAATGGATGCTATTAGGTACCCTATTTTCAGAAAAACCCATGTTTGGGGATGTTTGGGGAATGTTTGGCGATGGTTGGCGCCAGTTTCAACTTTGAGTGAACAATTACAAGTTACAAGCACTTCAAGTGAGAAGTAGAGGGGACGTTACGAATTTTTAGTGAAACCTTCGAACACAGATCATCCCAGTGAGCACGTGGTACGAATGGGAATTTGAGGCTCACGTACTGTAACCAATCATAGCTAATAGTTAGGAACTTGGAAAAAAACCTGGTTGATACAGCGAATACATCCACATTTTCTCTGGTTTTCCCACTTACGACTGTGTTATGGTTAGCCCCAGGCAGGGTGGCTCGCGGCCAACATCCCCATGCTTTCTCGTCATTTTCACACGCAAAATTGCCCTATATAAACATGCTTAAAAGGAAATCCCCATTTTTCCCCAGCAAAAACCAGCCCTTTTTTCCATGGCAAACAACCACCATTTAGGTCATGAGCGTCCCCGAGGTCATACCATGTCATTCCTCGGTTCCAGGAGGCCAATGTCTTGCTTCAAGAGATCAACACCTTGAAGCGACTGAAGCATCCCAGGAGAAATTCGAGAAAGAAAACCGCCCCAAACTTGGCCCCCACAGGGAATTTCCCATAGTTACCATAGTTATTCATGTGACATGAGAGTCATGGGTAAATGAATAACTAATGGTAACTATGGTAACTATGGGAATACCATATCATGAGAGTCATACGATTTTTAGTGCCCGAGATATTTTGGGATTTCCAGTGGCTAAATTGCCATCCAGCCCTGGCCCCGGCCCCATTTGCTGCGAGGATCGTCCGGTATCACGGCTGCATCCGAATGAACTCGGAGGTGCGGTCCCATGGGGGACCATTTTGGGTGGGTTAGGAACTGGGAATTTGGAGGTTTCCAAAATCATGGGGGTACCCCCAAATGATCATCCAAGTCATGAATGACCCTTAATTTTAGAATAGAAACCTATGGTGACTTGGGGGTCCTCCATTTTCAGATACCACCGTATGAGGATTTAAATATCAAACAATGTGGATGGGATGGGATAGCAATGGAAATCGAACAAACTCTGGTCTCAGCAAATTTAATTTTGAAGCCTACACAATGATGAAGGTCCTGCATGACGATGGTACTTTTCCGTGGGTGGCTCAACCACCAACCAGATTCAGATTGTGCTTTTTGAACTACAGTATCCCGCTTTTGGGTGCAATGACTTTATCATCTTCACAATCGAATCGAAACACAGGTGCATCAAAACTGGGAACTCTCTTTTTCCCTCTTCTTTTCAGGCATAATATTGATCAGATCCGGGGCATGTGTGTGCCAACGTGGGTTCGTTGGCGATACTACCATCACGGATGTGGGGCAGATCCACAATGACCCAAAGACTAATGGTCGCTGGCCAATTCCTGAAAGCGACCAGCCCATTTGGGATTCCAATGAGTCTAATATTTTGAGCCATAGCCATGAGATGTTCATGGAAAACACTGGAACACATATCTTTGGAACATGGATATGGGTCACTTCATCCTGGGACTCAGCTGTAGCCACCAGCTGCATCGCTGCATAGCTGGACTTCCCAGGAGGATCCGGCCTTGCTGATCTTCCTGGAGTACATGCCGAGTGGCTCCATCAAAGCCGTGGCGTGGCATATAGCCCGCCCAAAAAGGACACATACATAGCCGCCCCCAAAATGTGAGAGAAGTAAGTTTTGATACGCAAAAATAGTATGAATGTGTATAAAATACAGAGTGACAAAGTATTGGATACTTGTCTATCTTTTTCGGGGGTTCCTATAGGTATTCAACCAGCTCAGCATAAGCTTGTGATTGGGTTCAACCGACCTGTTTGATTGGATGAAGCTATCCCACAAAGATGTGGGTTTGCCCAAGAATAGTTGTATGTAACCGCAATTCATGCAAATTCTTTTTATGTGTTATTTTCTCCAATTTGCGGGACCATCCCCAATTTTCAGACAAACCCATAAAATTCATCATATTATGCCAATATAGTATGTACCCATGAATACCATGCAATGCCAACATACTGACATATATATATAATATAATTATATCAAAAACACGTTGTACACAGGTAGTAATAATAATAATACTAATAATATATATATATATCATATCATATATATATACACAATATTCATATATGCACTGACATGCCATCGTAGACCACCATACCCATGTGGAAAAAAAATACCACCAAGGTGCTCGAGAAGTTTGGGGCTTATGGCATTCGGCTGGTGAAGAAATACACCAGGACAGCTGCGGAAGTGGGGGTGGTATCATTGTTGGTCACCCATTACTAATATATGTTTTTTTCATACAAATATGCCCATGTAAAGGGTTTTTCCCATTGCCCCGTTTGATTTTTAAGCAAAGTAGCACTAAAAAGTCCTTTCCTTGGCAAACTATCATCATTTATTGCTGTGACATCATCATGTTTGATCATTTTTGGGTGAACAAGATCCCCAAGGTTTCTTGGTACCCCCTTTGTCTCGCGAGGCAGATCCTGGAAGGCCTTGACTTTCTGCACTCTGAGAAGATCGTGCACCGCGATGTGAAAGGCACAGCTTTCCCCGGTGGCAGACATCGGCTGGTGCTTCAATGGTAGGTCTCAACGCCCCAAGAAAGGGTAGATCTTCAGTTTGTCTTGAATCTGTTCTTTGGGTTCACACCCAAAGAACAGAAATACTGTAGATACAAGGTGATGACTCTTGTCTTTCTCCCCTTGCACTATCTTATACTTGGATGTTCCCATATTTATGAAAATGCTTCTAACCACCTAGATTTTGACACCCCTATGTTTGGAATACAATGGGATATGACCCGGTTACCACCTCTTCCAGGTGCCAACATCCTCATCGATGCAGCTGGCAATGCCAAGTTGGCCGACTTCGGCGCCTGCATGCAGCTGGAGGCCCGGCAGCTGGATGGACATGAGATAAAGATGATAAGGAGGAGATATGCATGTTATGCAGTTATGGGGAGGTACATGACATGAATGACATGAGTGACATGAATGGATTTTTATCAGGAAATACTTAGATGATCTTAGATGAGATATCCCTGATGTGGAGAATTTGGAGATGTGTCAGGATCTCTAGGATGAGAACTCTTTCGACTCAGGGGCGAAAAGGGTGTCGGGCTTTGATCAAAACTTGACCAGAGTTTTCAGATTTGAAGTGAGCAGCGTGACCGGTTGGTTTCAGACACTTTAAGATTTCGAACAAATCCATCCACCAGGGATGACGGCCCCAATACTTCACCCCCCAAGAAGTGGCAACCTCTGCAGCCGTGGCTCCCAAGCGGTAAAGATTTAAAGCATCCAAATGTTGTCCGTTTCGTTAGGGACAATGATGAGTTTTTGTTCCAAAATTACAAACCTGACTGCATAAATTGCATAAACCATTGGAGTCAATTTCCTGGAACCATTGTCCAATCAGACCCACTCCCTGTGAAGACCGACTCTGGCCATAAACATGCAGGCGCTCTTAGGTGCTCTAGAGGGTTCAATGAATCTACATGCACTGTGGCAGTCAAACACGACCATGAAAAGTCACCCGATTCGTAGCTCTTCGCGGTTTCCCCATGAGACTTGGGGAGTTTCAATGGCCACGTTGGATCCCTCAAAGGGTACATCTAAAATCTAAAAGACACATGGATCTTCGAAGGTAACAAAAAAACCCAAACAACACATATCCACATTTTTTCAGGCACATCCCCTTGAAAATCTGAAACAGATTGCCTTCCGATGGAACTCGCGCCTTGGCAACTTGCGCCCTTTGCGGCGCCAAAGACGAAAGTTGCCGCGGCGCCAGCAAAGGGACTTGGACATGTGAGCAGAGGACCTGGGGGTTTGGAGGAAGGATTTAAGAGCGTTGGAAGTTGGAATCTCCGTAACCCTCAAAGTTGGGACTTTCTGTTGCATGGTATGTACATATCTCACATATATGCACACTTGCCCACAACTGATTCTAGGTGTATATATTGCAGATGCATTGCAAAATCCAACAAACATTAGGATGTAATGAATTGGACTTTTCTTTCGTATGAAACCACGTCGACGTCCCGCGCTACAAGTACGACAAATGGTATACTTGTCAAAGTAACATCTTAAATCTGAAATAGCGCATATGCACATGTCTTGGATCTAGAGAGTGGATTTGGTACTCGCAGCTTGATCGGCTGTATCCCATCAATTCTTTTTCTCAAATCCGACCTGCACCACCAGACCTAACTTGTGGGGATGGAGCACCAGGACAGTTTGAGGAGCGATTGCGCATCCCATGGCAAGCAGCAGGCCAGGCATATGTTTGTCATCGACGTATTTCTGCTGCCTGGTTGGGGAGGTGGGGTTCCCAGCTTTTGGACTTGACATGACTTGATAATGCCCATTGAACCAGTTGGCATAAGCTCACTACTAATCAACCAACCATGAGTTATGGCTTATACTTTTATACAGTAATCTTATATATTACATTCATATCCACTTTTGGAGGTCAATGCCCAAATCTTATCAAATCTTTTGATTTGTAGTACCAAATGTGTCACTAAAAAAATCCTCGATTGTTGTTGTTTACAGCAACCATATTTAAGACTGATTTTTACTTGTACTGATTTAACATAATTGATCGAATTGACTTATGGAAAAAATGCACGGGAAACCCCACTGTTTGATGTTCAAATCCATGATTCCACAAACCCTCCATTGAAGGTCATATCTTTGTTGGGAAAAACGCAGCCTCATGTTTCATCATTGAGATCCCAACCCAAAATTGGTGTGTGAAATCATTGAAATCCCAAGAAAAATCATGGTGCAACCAGGTTCAGCCAGGCGAAATCCCCACAAAAATCATGGTTTCAACCAGCTGCACCCACCAATTTGGCTGAAATCCACCAGGCTCCGCCCTCCTGGCCGCGCGCGGCGCCATCCGAAGGCGCCGGCCCGGCGCCTGGAGATGGCGGACGCTGCGAAGGGCGGAGGCGTGCGACGGGACGGGAGGTTTTCACCATGGGAAAATCGATGGGAAAATCGATGGGAAGGTGATGAGGATTTCACCTGGATTTAATGCTGATATCTGATGTGGCCATCTAATATGGGAGAATGATATTTAACTGCTTATGGGAAGGTTATGTAAGATTATCACTTGTTTTTTTAAAACCATGAAATGGATGAAACTTGTGATTTTCTAAGCATCAGCAAAAGACAGATTCAGATTTTCGGAGCCAGGAGATAAACAGGAATTTCTATGAATTTCTTGTACAATCTCGTATTTAGCCAGGGAGAGGAATAGCTATGAAGCCTGCGCTCAGGATAGCACGACAGAGGCAAAAGATGAGATGCCGAAGCTGGGCCTTGTTTCAAGGGGCGTAGGATGGTGTCATAGTCAGGCAGGCTTCCCGTGTACACTAATGTTTGAAAAAAATATACCATATTCAAGATGGATTGATGGTTTATAACGGTTTATACAAGGCATTTATTTTTTTTAATATTGGGGATGGTTTACTATTTCTTTCCCTACCATTGGGATGAGACATTCTCGAAACGGGGAAAGACTCAAGGTCTGATGGGGAACTGCAGCGGACGTCATGTGCCCGACTTGGAAGACATCAAAGATGGTTGATATCCTGTGTTGGTTGGTTCATGTTGGTTCATATCCACAGCTTCACTGGAGAACTTATTGGTAATCTAAACGTGGCAGTGGACAAATAATTCCTCTGCATTAAGAATTTGTGGTTTCCCAGCCAGCCCTACCAGAGGGTAGATTGCCGATTGCTTATCCCACGTGTTTCTCTGGGGTGCATCACAGGACGCGCTAAATAATTGGGAGCTATTGTAGCTATTGATGGGAATCCACATCACCCAACCCCAATCCCACTCTTTTTTGTAACAAGGATTTTGCTACCAACAACGAGCTTCAGCACTGTAAATGACCAACATAGACACACACGTCCACCAACCACTCACCAACAATCAACCAGCTATTTACAAACTAGTTGCCCAATATTTTTTGGTTGCATGCTATTTGCCCAGCATCCAGCGATCTCAGCCAAGGAGTGAGAAGACTACTGCAGGTGAGGAGGCGAAAGAAGAAAAGCATGAGGAGAAAAAGGAGCCAGATGTGAAGGAGGCAAAGGAAGACAAAAAGGAGGTGAAGGAGCAGCCAAAAGAGAAGAAGGCTGAAGAAGAGGAGGTGAAAGAAGAGAAGGAAAAGACAGAGGAGAAAGAAGTGAAAGAAGAGAAGAAGGAAGAGAAGCAAGAAGAGGAGGAAGTGAAGGAGGAGAAGAAGGAGGAAGTGAAGGAGGAGAAGAAAGAAGAGAAGAAGGAGGAAGTGAAGGAGGAGAAGAAGGAGGAAGTGAAGGAGGAGACGAATGAGGAAGTGAAGGAGGAGAAGAAAGAAGAGAAGAAGGAGGAAGTGAAGGAGGAGAAGAAGGAGGAAGTGAAGGAGGAGAAGAAAGAAGAGAAGAAGGAGGAAGTGAAGGAGGAGACGAAGGAGGAAGTGAAGGAGAAGACGAAGGAGGAAGTGAAGGAGGAGGCGAAGGAGGAAGCGAAGGAGGAGACGAAGGAGGAAGCGAAGGAGGAGACGAAGGAGGAAGTGAAGGAGGAAACGAAGGAGGAAGTGACGGAGGAGACGAAGGAGGAAGTGAAGGAGGAGAAGGAGGAGGAGAAGAGGGAGGAAAAGGAGGAGCAGAAGGAAAAGGAGGAGAAGGAGAAAAAGGAAGAGAAGGAGGAAAAGGAAGATAAGGAGGAAGTGAAGGAGGAAGTGAAGGAGGAAGAGAAGGAGGAAGTGAAGGAGGAAACGAAGGAGGAAGTGAAGAAGGAGACAAAGGCGGAAGTGAAGGAGGAGAAGCAAGAAAAGGAAGAGAAGGTAGAGAAGGAGGAAGTGAAGGAGGAGAAGAACGAGGAAGTGAAGGAGGAGAAGAGAGAGGAAGTGAAGGACGAGCCGGAGGAGAAGGAAAAAAAGGAAGAGAAGCAAGAAAAGGAGGAGAAGGCAGAGACGGAGGAGAAGGCGAAGGAAGTGAAGGAGGAGAAGAGTGAGGAAGTGAAGGAGGAGAAGAACGAGGAAGTAAAGGACGAGAAGAACGAGGAAGTCAAGGAGGAAGTGACGGAGGAAGTGAAGGAGGAAGTGAAGGAGGAGAAGAGCAAGGACGAGAAGAAAGAGGAGGTGAAAGAGGAGGAGGAGAAGCAAAACCAGGAGAAAACAGAAGACAAAAAGGAGAAGGAAGAAACGGAGGAGAAAATAGAAAAGGTAGAGAAGGAGGAGAAGGGGGAGAAGGAGGAGAAGGAGGAGAAGACAGCGGAAGGTAATGAGGAGAAGCAGGAGGAAGTGAAGGAGGAAAAAGAGGATGCACGGAAAGACAAGAAAGAGGAAATTAAAGAGGAGAAGGAAGGTAAGGAAGTCAAGGAGGGCTCAGCGGAGAAAGAGGATGCACCAGGAGAGAAGAAAGACAGCGACGACGACGCAGAGGATAGAATTTTGGTTTCTGTCGCTATTGCTTGTCTACCTTCAGTTTGTGAGAACTCACAACGGTTTCCGCTTGAACACATTGTACATATACAAAATATACACACATGCGCTACCTCTTGATCCACTGCGTGAGGTCCTGCCATCCCCAGCCCCAGGCGGAGAAAGAGGCCAAAGCGCGTAAGGCTGACCTCGAGATGCCCGCGGGAGCTGATGAGGAATCCTCCATGGTCCGGCGCTGAGTCGATGGCTATGGAAGTTGGGTCATGGTGAAATCACCGTGACAGCAAGGTGGAACGCGAATCGTCAGAGGGCCTTGTGGATATACCATGATATTCCTGGATATTGATGTTGATTCTTATATATATATAGTGTGTATATATGGGTATGGGTCAAAACCTATACATACCATTTTTAGTGGGTTATTCACATCCATGAATCCCAGCTATTTTGATGTGAACTACAGGGGTACAAGGTTTTCACACACTGCCATATATATAAATATAAATATAAATATAAATATATATATAAATTATATATATATATAATTATATATATAGAGGTCTGGTCAGATTTGTTGGAAGACACCTGCTAAAGCGCAGGCCTTAAACGGGCCGATTCCGCGCGTCAAAAATCGATCCACGAGATTCCAACGAGTCAAAGAGACCATCTAAACTCTGTGAATTGAACAGTTCACCACGGAAAATTGGCCCATTTACAATCATACTGTATTCACAGTATTTACATATATTTGCCTACTAATTCCTACTAAGAATGGTGATTTTCCATGATTTTCCATTAGCAAACTGGCAAATTGCCGGAAGGTATCCATCATCATCCCATTATAATACCATGATGTAATATTATCATTCCAATCCTACTATAGCCCATGGGATAGCCCCATAGAGGCTAAAAGTAGGTCTCCTTGGCTCTGAGGCGGACCGTCAGGCCACCCAAGTTGCAGAGGTCCTGAAGGCGCAGGAGGAATCGGAAGAGAAGGTGGGAAAGGCTTCTGGCATTTCAGGCCTGAGCTTGGGCTGTTGGGATATTTTTTGGCCACTTCAGATGGGTTAGATGTAGGAAACAAAACACCTGAAACGGATAGAAATGGGGAATCACTATATGAACAGGGTCTTTTGTTGGAGATTTCAGATGGCTTACCCTTCGGTGTCATCAAAGATGGCAATGGCTCCCATTATAACTGGGAAATTCAACTACAAATGGTTGATTTACATTGCCATGTTTCATTACCGGATATATGGTGATTTTAATGTTTGAATGTGTCGTTTTTTTTTGTTAAGTAGTTCATAGAACAAGATGTTTGGCACTGGTTTTCCGCTGCAGGAAAGGAGCTCAGAGAGATGAAAGAACAGGTGAAGGAGATGCTGTTGACAGAGTGGTTTACCCTCTGGTCATTGAACGGTTTGCGATCTGGAAAATCACCAATTTTGATAGGGAGTATCATAAATCATCTATAAATCAGGTATAAATCGGCCATTTTCCAGAGTTACGTCGTATGTTTTAAGTAGCCGGTATTCCCGGCCATTGAAATCACCTTTTTGAGGACTCCTCCATTGACCGACAGGGGCCAATGGGTACTGTACCAAGATTGGGAACCCAAAAGGTCACCACTGGTGGAACAGGTCGAAATTGATGATATCCATCAAAAGGCTAGAGTCATCCGCATTTTTCTTGCTTAAATCACCATTTGTAGGCAATCTATAATTCATGGCCATTTGCAGATGATCATGGCCATTGATGATTTTTGTTTGTTAAATCAGCATTTAAAGCCATTTACACGTGATTTTCCGCCCAACATGATGCCATCCCCAGTACTTTAACGGTGGTCAGGAGATGTTCGACTGGAACCGCGCCTGGTATCCCATTGCACCTCTGGAGTATCTCAATGCCGATGCGCCCAATGCGGTGAAGTTGTTGGGGAAGCGGATGGTGCTTTGGTGCTCCAACCAAGACACTTGGATTCACTTGGATTATGGATCCCTTGAAGCTGGTGGGTCGAAATGAATGACTTGGGGAACCAACAAAAAAAGCATTGACTATCCAATTTTTTGGGGTACTGAATTCTGACCTATATCCAGCTATGACAGTTTTTTTTTGGCTTGGTTGATAGGTAAAGTTGTGAAAGTTGGGAGTTATACTGGGCTCTTGAGGGTTGTAAGCCTTTATAAAGGGGACACCTATCAACCAACTAGTATGAGATGTTTGGAGTTTAATTATGTTTAACTGACCATGGGTGAAATGGTCTAAGCAACCAAGGGGACGGTACCAATGACTTGACCAAATTGGGGGAGTTCCAGAGATCTACAAATAGGAACCCCAGACCAAGCCCGTACAACACAGCTGATTCGCACTTAGAACTGGTGTTACACTTTCATCATCTTGAATCATCTTATAACTTATTTAAGGGCTCCCGCCCCTGCCGCCGACCCCGGAAAAAAAACACCAGGATGAGGCTGAGCAGCGAGATGCAGCGAGGGCCTACGCGCAGAAGGAAAGCCCCAGAAAACCGGACAAGCCCCCGACAGATGGCCAAAGTCGTCCAGAAAGCTGCCAAGACGGCCGGCAAGGGCGCTGCGGAGCGTTTGAAGGCAGTAGCCTAACGTCGCTTTCTGAAGCCACTAGAAAACTAGATGGCCAAAGTCGTCCGGAAAGCTGCCAAAAGCGCCGGCAAGGGCGCTGCGGAGCGTTTGAAGGTAGGCTACTGCCTAACGTCGCTTTCTTACTGGACAAGACAGATGGCCAAAGGCTACTGCCTAACGTCGCTTTCTGAAGCCACTAGAAAACTAGTGGACAAGCCCCCAAAGGCGCTGCGGAGGGTTTGAAGCCAGGCTACTGCCTAACGTCGCTTTCTGAAGCCACTAGAAAACTAGTGGACAAGCCCCCAAAGGCGCTGCGGAGGGTTTGAAGCCAGGCTACTGCCTAACGTCGCTTTCTGAAGCCACTAGAAAACTAGTGGACAAGCCCCCAAAGGCGCTGCGGAGGGTTTGAAGCCAGGCTACTGCCTAACGTCGCTTGCTGAAGCCACTAGAAAACTAGTGGACAAGCCCCCAAAGGCGCTGCGGAGGGTTTGAAGCCAGGCTACTGCCTAACGTCGCTTTCTGAAGCCACTAGAAAACTAATGGACAAAGCCCCAAAGGCGCTGCGGAGGGTTTGAAGCCAGGCTACTGCCTAACGTCGCTTTCCGAAGCCACTAGAAAACTAGTGGACAAGCCCCCAAAGGCGCTGCGGAGGGTTTGAAGCCAGGCTACTGCCTAACGTCGCTTTCTGAAGCCACTAGAAAAGTACTGCACAAGCCCCCGACAGATGGCCACAGACGTCCGGAAAGTTGCCAAAAGCGCCGGCAAGGGCGCTGCGGAGCGTTTGAAGGCAGGCTACTGCCTAACGTCGCTTTCTGAAGCCACTAGAAAACTAGTGGACAAGCCCCCAAAGGCGCTGCGGAGGGTTTGAAGCCAGGCCACCCCAAAGGCGCTGCGGAGGGTTTGAAGCCAGGCTACTGCCTAACGTCGCTTTCTGAAGCCACTAGAAAACTAGTGGACAAGCCCCCAAAGGCGCTGCGGAGGGTTTGAAGGCAGGCTACTGCCTAACGTCGCTTTCTGAAGCCACTAGAAAACTACTGGACAAGCCCCCGACAGATCGCCATTCTGAAGCCACTAGAAAACATTTGGACAAGCCCCCAAAGGCGCTGCGGAGGGTTTGAAGCCAGGCTACTGCCTAACGTCGCTTTCTGAAGCCACTAGAAAACTACTGGACAAGCCCCCGACAGATCGCCATTCTGAAGCCACTAGAAAACATTTGGACAAGCCCCCAAAGGCGCTGCGGAGGGTTTGAAGCCAGGCTACTGCCTAACGTCGCTTTCTGAAGCCACTAGAAAACTAGTGGACAAGCCCCCGACAGATCGCCATTCTGAAGCCACTAGAAAACATTTGGACAAGCCCCCAAAGGCGCTGCGGAGGGTTTGAAGCCAGGCTACTGCCTAACGTCGCTTTCTGAAGCCACTAGAAAACTACTGGACAAGCCTCTGACAGATGGCCACAGACGTCCGGAAAGTTGCCAAAAGCGCCGGCAAGGGCGCTGCGGAGCGTTTGAAGGCAGGCTACTGCCTAACGTCGCTTTCTGAAGCCACTAGAAAACTAGTGGACAAAGCCCCAAAGGCGCTGCGGAGGGTTTGAAGGCAGGCTACTGCCTAACGTCGCTTTCTGAAGCCACTATAGAAAACTAGTGGACAAGCCCCCAAAGGCGCTGCGGAGGGTTTGAAGCCAGGCTACTGCTTAACGTCGCTTTCTGAAGCCACTAGAAAACTACAGGACAAGCCTCCGACAGATGGCCACAGACGTCCGGAAAGTTGCCAAAAGCGCCGGCAAGGGCGCTGCGGAGCGTTTGAAGGCAGGCTACTGCCTAACGTCGCTTTCTGAAGCCATTAGAAAACTACTGGACAAGCCCCCGACAGATGGCCAAAGTCGTGCGGAAAGCTGCCAAAAGCGCTGCGGAGGGTTTGAAGCCAGGCTACTGCCTAACGTCGCTTTCTGAAGCCACCAGAACACTACTGGACAAGCCCCCGACAGATGGCCAAAGTCGTCCAGAAAGCTGCCAAAATTTGAAGGCAGGCTACTGCCTAACGTCGCTTTCTGAAGCCCCTAGAAAACTAGTGGACAAGCCCCCAAAGGCGCTGCGGAGGGTTTGAAGCCAGGCTACTGCCTAACGTCGCTTTCTGAAGCCACTAGAAAACTACTGGACAAGCCCCCGACAGATGGCCAAAGTCGTCCGGAAAGCTACCAAAAGCGCCGGCAAGGGCGCTGCGGAGCGTTTGAAGGCAGGCTACTGCCTAACGTCGCTTTCTGAAGCCACTAGAAAAGTTCTGGGCCAGTGTCAAGCCAAGCGGCTGCCTAACGTTGCTTCGTGCTTAACGCCACTTTTCCTCGGGCACGCTCCCCCTGCAGATGGCTGGGGTCGGCGGATATCTCTCTCATGAACACTAAACCACGGATAAATAGGAGGTCAGAAGCAAACTCCTGTCATCATAGAACCGGCAACAGAGAAAAGATGCAGGAAACATGTCTACGAATCGGATCAGCCACGGGTTTTGTCAAAACTATGAGGGTTTTGAGTCCAACTGGTGAGCTTTAGGCATGGGTCGAAATTTTGCCCCCTCCTTAATGGATTGTGGGTCCGAACGATGACCAATTTCAGCCACCTGAACCCATTTCCATGTGTATATACGTTAGAAATCCCCGAACTAAATGGTGGTATGGGAAAATCACCATTCCCAGCGATGTCCCAGCGGACACCAATTTGGTTTTCGCCCTTTTTTCGCCACCAGCAACCAGCCCAGCACCAGGAGAAGAATCTGTGGCACGCAGCACTGGATGCCTGTCCACATCGCATGGCTCCTTTGTCCATTGGCTCCATCAAGGATGGCTGTTTGAAATGTCGTTATCACGGCTGGACCTTCAGCACAGCCACTTGGATCACTTGGATCACTTGGCGCCGAGACCAGTTAGTTGGTTGATTGTTTGGGTGGGTTTTTTTTAGGGTTTATATCATTTTATATCGATGATCACCAGACTTTGGGGGTTTCAAAAGACACTACTTTTGGGATGTTGTTGGTCCAAACAAAAGGGAAATGGATCCATGCTGAGGAATCCAAAGGCGTTTCACGTGATAATGTGATCATGACGATAATCGCAATGATAATAATTTATGTTGGCAATAATGACATCAGTAGTTACGATTAGTTAGATAGGTAGATAGATAGATAGATAGATAGATAGATAGATAGATATATAGATAGATAGAGATATAGATGGAGATATAGATAGAGATATCGATGGAGATAGAGATATAGATAGGGATATTGATAGAGATATAGATAGAAACATAGATAGAGATATGGATGAAACTATTAGAGATATGGATGAAGATACTAGAGATATGGATAGAGATATAAATGGAGACATGGATAGAGATATGGATAGGAATATCGAGAGATACATGAAGATTATAGAGATGGATAGAGATATAGATAGAGACAGAGATAGTATGTTTGCAGCAGTCAGAACTGCAAAGTGCTCAGCATAAAAACCATAGCAGCTGGGCTTCCAGCTTTAGAATCCAAGGCCGAGGATTCGAAGGATCAAAGTTCCAAGCCCTCAAACTCGGCCGGGTCAATGATTGCCAACCGACGCCCAGGAGCATGGACGATATATATATATATATGTATATATATATGTATATATATATATACATACATATACAGTATACATATGGAGATACACAGATAGACAGACAAGATAGATAGGTAGGTAGATAGACAGACAGACAGGTAGATGGATATTTTCCAAAAAACAGTTATCAGATGAGATGCCCCAGGAACCCTCATTTCAATACACCCTTAGCCTTTAGGCCGGAAGTTGTGTGGCAGTGCCTATGGCGCAAAATGGTAAAGAAGAGGCCCGCGCCGTGGCTGCAGGTAGTTGTTTGGATATGATCGCATGAAAAAATGGCATTGGTTCGGTTAAAAGACATGGGACAATTCATCAGAATTGATTTATCTATAGGATATGTATATATAATTATATATATATAATATAAAATATATGGAAAATCATTTGCTGGATGGATGCAAACGGTGGTTATTCCATTGGTCGGGGTATGAAAGGGTGTTTTGTCCAAATTTTTGTTGTTTCCATCGTCAGTCGTATCCTCAATTTTGTGGTATTCCTGAGCATTGTTGCTTGATATTTTAGTTTTGGTGGGTTTTATTGCAATCTTCACTCTTGTAAATGTCGTAAATTACAGTGTACGTCTTCGTATGCCCGTATGCACCGAGGCATGTGTGCCTTGTCCCGCTCTTCCTTGACCACCTTCCCCGTGCAGGTGAAGCAGGCTCCGTTTTCATGGGGACTTAAGTAACAAGGGTTTGCGGAGCAACGACTAGCAGATAAGTAAGGTCTTTATGTAGAATGCAAACTGTCCAGTTTTTGAATCCGAATGTAAGCCGGAACAATTTTGGGCATGGGTAACCTCAAAATCACGAGTGGTGGTTGGTCAGCAAGAAAACCCCAATGGAATGAGAATCTCAATAAAAACTTGTATCATCAACGGTAAGGATTTGAATGGATTTGATAGGTTGAAGGAAACAACATCCATATTACATAGGGGGCGGAACAAATAGTCTTGGGTACCAACTATATAGCCATATCATATCATATCATATCTATCCATATCTTGAATTTTCATATGCCAAAAACAAGGGTGCAACCAACCACAGAGATATAGACTTATCCTGGTGGTTTTCCTGCATGTTGAAGTGCCAAATCTCCTTGGGGTTGCTACTGGGAACCCGAAATACCACCAGGGAGTATGGGGTTGGTTTCTGTAGATTACCAAAGGCAAATTGAACTCAACCCTTGGTTAAGCAATGCAGTTGCTTTCTGGCATCCCATGGGAAACGCGTGTCTTTAGCTGAAACATGGACCCAATCTCAGTAGATCCTGGCAACACAGGAACAAGTATGAAGTGGGGACAAGTATGCTACCTTCTTCAATCTATTTGGACAGTGTTGGAATGTTTTGCCTACAATGTGCCTACAGGATGCCTGGAATCTTGTCAATGAGACTGATCTCTGCAGTCCAATTTCATCAGCGTTATTATTTGCCTGCCCATGAAGCGTCCATAGCTTGCCCAAACGATCTCAATAGTTTCTTATAGGGATACACCACACTTTTAGTGTACTGCCGTACTGCCCCTATTTTGGGACATACCCAATTGCTGAAATCCCGTCTTCTCATCCTTGTCTTTGTTGCTGTTGTCCACAAATCCATATTTTTGTTGGACAACCTGCACTTTGTTGACACTAATTGCAGGTCAAACTCCCGAAAATCCCAACACCTTTGGTCAAAATGCCACAGTAGCTACAATCCACCCCGAGCCCTTCAGCCCTTCAGGGCCTGGTGTGGATCTTCCCCTACCTGGGCCCCGACGTGGAGACAGTCTCGAAACGCTCGGGGCCCTGCGTCACGCCCGAGTGCGAGGGCACGGAGTGGGTGATGACCACGGCGCCGGTGGGGTATCAGGTGGGCCATCGGCCATGCTGGCGTGGTTAATCGGTTAATCCCTGAATTTCCCGGTTAATTGTTGAACACCCAGAGAAACCATGGTTTAGGGGATGAAATATGATGAAATCACATATAAAAGAGACCTTTTAGGGTGAGGGGATCAGTTTCCCCATGATTTTAGTTCATTTTGGTGCCTGAAAAGGTTTTTGTCTGAAATTATGGGCAACTCCATTTGGAAATGGAATAAGCCCATGTTGTAAACCTCAGTTTTTCGTGGGTGATTCAGAAAATTCACTTTTGTATAGGAACGTATAGGGCGAATTTGTCGCTTCTACTTGTCTCCTGATGGATTGACAGGTTTCCGTTGAGAATACCTTTGACCCTTCGCATGCGCCGTTCATGCACCACGGCATCGGTACATATTCGCCGGAGAGAGCCGCTCGGTCCAATTTTCCCACATCCAGTGTTGGCTACCCAGGGTGTATCCCAAATTTGGTTGCCGAAGCATCCCCAAAATATGACACCAGTATCACAAGATTCACACGACTCAGGGAGGACTGCACAAGATAATGTCACATACATAACTGGGCATTGCTAACTGAAATATATGGAATCTGAAAGCTCACCCTGAGTATTCGTGCCAACAGGGCCAGTCAGACAGCTGGCAGCTCAAACATGGTTATTGTATCAGTGTGTCTTAGTAAACGGTCTGGTATGCCCATAAGATGGCAACTTTGATGGCAAATCATGATGATCAACCATCATTTCTTTTCTCTTTTAATTGTTCAGATAAACACATAATAACACACATATAATCGCTGTAAGATCTCACGAAAAATGTCCATTTTTTGATGGTAAAATCCCCATTTTTTTTTCACTGGCCAGGCCATTCCCATGTCGAAGTTCGAGCTCCGCGACGACGAGATCAGCGGAAAGCGCGGCTTTGTCTTGGAACACAACGGCTACGACGAAGGCCGTGGGGCCATGTGGGGCCGTGGGCTCGGGGCTTTCTACCCTAGGGTCATGGTGAAGAGTGGATTTTAACCACCAAGAAATGGAAAAATGATGGTTTAATGGGATGATGATCGTGGAAAAAACATGGTTTCCTTAGGAAACCATCTACAACTAGTGGATTTTCCACATCTATGTTAGTTTACCCCAGAGTAAAGGGGAGATGCACCCTCAATATATATAGTATTTTTGATGAGATCTAGTGAGTAAAATGATGATAAACCATGCTAAACCATGGGATATAATGATAATGATTGTATAGTTTTTTTTTGTCCCCATTTTCAGATCAGCCCGTTTGAAACACCATTGACCTTGAAAACGAAGTTTCTCACAGTCGAAAGTATGGTGGTTGGCAGGGACATTTGACCGTAGACGGGATGATCCGCAGTCTCGTCCAATATGCTTCACCAGGGTTGCCAAGGTCTGTGAATATGGATAAACATTACCATCATGACCCCCATTGACCCCCCACAAAAAAAAGATGTTAATGATGGTAATGAAACATTTCCCCATTTACCCCCATTTACCCCCATTTACCCCCATTTACCCCCATTTACCCCCATTTACCCCCATTTACCCCTCATTCAAGAAACATTCCCCCCAAACTCCTGGCTCTCTATACCTCCCCCATGGCCACAGTCTGTGTAACAGGGACCGAGGGCCTGATGGCCACGCGGCAGTTCGTTCCCCCGTGCTCCAACACGACGGTGTACAAGCACAAAGATCGAAGATGCTTGGCTGCTGAGAATAATTGAATATTCCAGGGAGTAAATTAACCTATACAAAAAATAATAATAATGATAATAACAACAATAATAGTAATAACAACACTAATAACAATGATAATAATGACAATAATAATATATATATATTTATACACACACATTTTTTGATCATGTTTGATCGTGGTCAAGTTCTGAAGTGAATTGGTGGGAAATGAAGGTGAAATCCTAGACATACTATGGCTGTTGGCTCATCAGCTGCCCATGTTTTGCGGAGACTCCAGGTTTGGATCACAGTTCTTAGTGCTCCACCCATCACCTGCCTATAGTTTTGGGGGGTGTCCAGTACTTCTGTTGCGACAAGAAGTTCCTTCGCCCCTTGGGAACCTGTGGTCCCCTGTTCTGTTGGAACTCACCTTTGACCACGAGGAACTGAGACCACGCAGCTGTACTTTGTGCCCTGTGGGCCACATGAGACCAGATACATTGTGAACGTTGGACAGCAGGTGAATAAGAAGTTGCCTCAGATCGCCCAGGACTGGTCTCGTGGGTCTCGTTATAGATTGGGAACCACCCACCAGGATTTGAAGGTTTCCACCTCAATAATCCTCAATATTTGATGGTTGATAGGTTTGCTATATATATATATATATTATAGATGTATTCCCGCGAGCCCCATGGTTTATTATCTATCACCCCAGAAGCCTATGCATCTGTTTTCTCGTACGACAAATTCTTTTAACACTTTTGCCGATAGAAATGGACCCCAAATCTTGAAATGTGGAGGTCCCCTGCTGCCAATCCCCTGCTGCCAACTTTGAGGTCCCTGAGGTCCTGAATACCGGGCCATAAGGGTCCTTGATGACTGATGTGGATGAAGTACTTGACCATATGATATTGGCTCATACGTTGATACGTTGGTTGATACGTTGATATTGGTTGATATATCGGTTGACCTTGGTTGAGAATGAGCTGCGAGACTTCCCAAACCTGGTGTTTGCGCTCTTTTGGGCAAACAGTTTAACTACAACATGGGGACCACTTTAATGTGGGCATGAGTCCAAATTTTGCACCCCCAAGATTGAAGGAATGATAGATGTTCACAATGGTCAAACCCTATGGGTCAGGAAGACACCACTTCGACCTTGTCTCTAACATTCCCTAACCAAAGAGATCATCCCAAACTGGTTGGGGGTTTCAAACATTTTTTATTTTTCCATATATTGGGAATGTCATCATCCCAACGGACTTTCATATTTTTCAAGCTGGTCAAAACCAGCAACCAGCAAACATGTGGTTTTAAAAACTGAAGAAGCGACCATCCGTCATGGTGGATTCTTGGGGTTGTGAATGTTTGGTCGGTTGGTCCCATTGAAATTCGGCCAATTCGGCCCCCACTGGAACAGGATATTCTCCACGTGCTTTTCTTCAACAAGATCTTCGGCATCTCGACTCAAGCAAGATGGGTAGCAGTCACCCGCTTCAGCAAGAGAGTTTGATGGAGTTCCAACCATCATAAAATATATTACCATATATCATATAACTAAGAAAAATGGGTTCACCAACCAGTCTATGATTCAACCAATTGTTGATAGTTTTTGGGGCCCTCGGCAGTTTTAGATCCCAAATCGCCGAGGCCGAACTTTTTTTTCAGTCCAAAGCAGTCCCATCAGTATTACCGGTCTACAGATGTTGGTTGTAGCCTTTTTTTTCCATGCGTTAATCCTATTTTCTCATGGGAGAATGATCTGAACATGGTGGATCATGGTGCATTTGCATGTTCGTTCCAGGCTACTTGGAAGACCTCCCAGTTTGGAAGTGTTTTCTTACCCATGCACCCCCAGTAGTTGAGGTTCTCCCGTAAAATCAACTGCAATCAAAGAATCATATACAACCTGATACAATTAACTGTAAGTAACTTGAGGACCTTGAGGTACATTGCAATGATCCTCGCATTTATCACTCCACCCTGAGGCTATCGCTTTCAGGAGCAGGACCTACTGGCCATGCGGGGCCAGGAACGTTCCCTGCACGAGTGTCCTCAGTTCACCTGGGGCGAGCAGTACGTCCTGGGTGACCTTGGGCAGGTGGCAGAAAATTTGGGGCATGAAAACCTCAACTTCAGTGACATCAAGTGACATCAAGTGACTGAATTTTGGTAGGTGAAATGACCCGCAATTCATACCATCACTGCCATCCCCAAATTTTGGCCAGTTTTCAGGTACTCCCTCGGACAAGGGTGTGGAGGTCTTCCGGAAATGGTGGTACGACTGTGCCAACGGTGGACCCTACTTTCCAAGGGCCTCCAGGAGCGGATTGCGATCTGATCCCAATCTGTTGGATTTCTCATGTTTTTGTGAAAAATTAACATAGAAATCAGTGGAAATCCAACAGATTGGATAGGCTCTTTTTTTCTGGTCTTGATTTATGTGGTTTGCCCGGTGGAGTTCCAAACCACTTGGATTTCCGCAGCGCCTTCGATCGGTTTACCCGGCTGTAAATGGGTTATAGTTATTCTTCATACCGGACACAGAAAGCTGCAAGTGGAGTAAGGATGATAAAGGAGTATGTATATATATATTTACACATATAGAGGAGTATATATATATATATGTATATATATATGTATATACATATGTATATATATGTATATGTGTATATATATATATGTATATGTATATATATGTATATGTGTATATATATATGTATATACATATGTATATATATATACATATATATATATATACACATAGAGGAGTTTATATATATATATATGTATACATTCTGGGTAAATTATAACGACCTCACTGCGACCTCACTGGAATCATAGTTAATAAGGGACATCATCCCCAAATGGCCTTAATTCAGGTTAGTGAAATATTATGAATTTACCCAGATACATATAGATATCCCTGTTTCACATGGTTGACTTGTTTGAATGGTATGATGTGATCATTACTTGTCGGAGGTGTCCGTACAATCCCTACGGTCCGTACGCTTTTTTGGCTCTGGTGGATGCGATGAGCTGCTCAGGACGTTACCAGCCTCGGATCCCATGATCTTTGACCGCTGGCAGCGACATGCAAAGGACTGTGCCCTGGAGCTGAAGGGGAAGAGATAGGGATTTTTTTTGGCTGCATAGATAGGGATGATCATGGCAAAGGTGAACATAGTATACGTGTCAATCTAAACTATGGTATTTTCTCCCATGAAAGGAATGCAAAGATAGTGAATATGATGATACTGGCTGGATATAGTCAAGAATCTAGGAACTAGTGTTGACAAATGGTATCCAATCCCTAGTTTGTTGGTGTAAGAATCGGAGAATAAGATATAGTAAGTACATCTAGTCAAGACTAATCTCATCATCATACATTGCCTGTCATCACCAAGATAGCGACAAAACTAGCGATTGCCCATATCAACCTGCAGTTGGAGTAGCGACCAATCAACACTTGGTGTAGGGATCAAACGTCTCGATGATTTGATCCTGTCTGTATTCAGCATGCAGGTAGTGGGCCGATTGCCAAAGGCATGGTGAAGATTCTTCCACAGTTTTTCTGCATCGAAGCTCTTCATTTTCGGGATCAAGAAATCCTTCAATTTGTCCAGTCACTACTATATATATATATTTATGTATATCAATACACATATGTATACATATATATATATATGTATATATATAATTATATATGTATGTATGTGTACCAATATTAAATGTTCAATTACTATGCTCTCAATTTTTTGTGCCAAAGCTCCCTATCCCAAACCACTCAGGTCCGCGCTGCAAACGCGTGATGAAAGCCTTTGGCCATGTGCAGACTGCAGCTGGCAGGCGCCTCTTTTGCTTCTGATGGATTGAAGCGAAACATGATTTGGAACACAAATACACATGGAAAATCAATCAAACATGATTTGGACCATCTTTAGGAATTGATTTCCATGGTCTTTTTCATGGATTGTTCAAAATTTTCAGCAATTCTCAGCAATTCGCAGCAATTTTTCGGGTTTTAGGAGGGAACTGAGGCAGACTAAAGGGACGTTTGGATGTTGTTTTAGATTGCCTGACGCTCGAAACCTATTAGGGCACTGCAACGATTGTTGTATCCTGGCCGGCGATTTCTCTATATACTGAAGTTGTTTGTAACATCGCCTTGTCACCTTTCTTAGGTTGTTGCTAAATCACTTAAATCACTTAGATCGTTACTTTTTTTGTTTCTTGCTGCAAATCATTTCCCTTGTTCCCTTTTTTTTGGTCCTTTCTCAAAACCCTAAAAACACCATTTTTCACACTTATACAAAGTGGTGCCCCATAGATAGCTAAGTTGGTTTATAACTCCAATAACTAGGACTTATGGTAGATATATCTATGGTTGATGGGGTTATAAAACAACTTTTAACTGGGGGGGTACCTCATTGGACACATGTTTGTCACCCCAACTGCAGCCCCAGGGATTCATCCCCATTGACCGATGAGTTGGGCCTGGCCGCAGGTTGTCCGTGCTGGGCCTGGCCTTGGCCACCGGCTGTGGGCTGCTGCGGAAGCCGCAGAGCTGCTGCGGCTGGCTGCTGACCACGCTGCTGCTGGCAGCGCTGGGGCGCTGGGCTGCAGCGGAGCGATGGGGTGCCCTGGGACGGATGGGATGGGATGAGGGTATGGGTCAATACCTATAGATACATTTTTAGTGGGATGAACATCCATTTACCAGCTATTTTGGGGTTCACTAGGTACCAGTACCAAGGTTTTGACCCATCCCCAGATGGATATAGATTGGGATGATAGGCATAGCCATATTAGCCATATTAGTTGTGATTTGCAAAAATGATAGAGCATCCATATTTTTTAGGGCTTCAATCATTTTGACACACTCGAGAGTATGTGGCTCTTAATTTGAGATCAAATGCGAGCAAAAAAGCGCAAGTTGGGTGCATCATTCTGAATGATGTTGATACTATCAGATTATGGCCCCTATGCCAAAAAGATGGGCCAAAAGGATGGTGTCTGATTCGAGGTTGGCTGCATACTAAAAGCGACCGCATGATTGGTTTCCGTTGATATTGTTACCCCAAAAATGGGTTGCCGCAAGCACCTGACAAGGAAGGTATCTTCCAAGTCATTTCAGGTTTCAGGTTGCGCTAGTTGGATTTCAGCCATTACATTGATCATTACATCAATGAACCTTGGAACCTCGTCCATGACATGTTTTTTTTTTTTTCGCCCGCTCTGTTGAGGCTTTGTTTCCTCGGTACCCCTGAAGGGCTTGATGGAGGTGCCAGTCTACAAGTCAGGTGCCATGAGTAAGCCATGAATCTTGACCCCGGCTCGCCGGGCTTGGGGCCACGGTGGTAATTTATTTGATTTTAATCGCTTAGATCGAACGCTGCCCGACAGTCCAAGTTCGTTCACCGACTCGCTATGAGACCAGGGGTTCATCTCATAATCTGGAAATCATTTGAAATCATGATGGACACCAACTATAGTTGCATCATGTTGCATCCAATGAGAGACGAACTCATCGTTTGGTCCAGAAAAATCGGTTCACTGCTGACATCCTCCAGTGTACTTCTTAAAATCAGGATTATATAAGTAACGCCAATCAACCTCCAGTTGCCCCCAGCTATTGGCAGAACAGCCTTGTCAAAACTTCTGGTGGCAACTGGGGCCAATCATTGTGGTCTGGTTCTCCAAAATTTTCCTTGGGCACAGTTCACCCGCATTCAGAAAATGCGCAGCAAATGCAGTCTTCAGTCTCACATCAAATGTCTCGCGGACCACCCAACGTCGGTGGCGTCCGCTTGATTGCCTGTGGGATTCCAGCTGTGATGCGGATGGTAGAGGGTAGATATCCATAAGATGTGCCGGTTACATCCTGTTACCAGAGGTCATAGAACTGAGTTGCTGGCCCTTAATCCTAGCTGCAGGATGCTGCAGGGATATCTGGTAAAACTATGTAAAACTGATCATCTTGGGATTTGAAGAAGAAACCTGTGACACAAGCAACAATAGTAGCGGGGCTCGAAGCAGCAACGGGGATGGTTGGTGGTTTTGAACGTCAAGCACGGTTTCCATGGTGACATGGGATAATTAATTACAAAACATCCAACCAGTTGATTTGAACGTATTTGAACAATCCAATTACAAAACCTGGGAACAATCTTGGTTTTCCATGGTTTTCCATTGATCCTCACAGTCCGTCTGGGATGGGTTTGAAAACACCAACCAAGTGATTTCTTCCAACCTTTCCGGGCTTTGTGTTCTGACGCCTCGCCACTGCCAAGCGAATCCCCACAGCCATACGCGCAGCACGCGGAGCTGCGGCGCGTCAACCGCCAGACCATTTGAAACCCACCATTTGCAGCACCAAAAGATCTCCAGCAAGTGCAAGACTGCGCCACTTTGCGACTCTATGTTTGTTTTGCAGTATAAATCATGTATATACGTGTGTGTATATATATATATGCAAATATTCTACATGATTCTACATGCAAAGCTTATATTACATATGAACCATGAAAAATACCATGGTTGATTGGTTAACATCGGGACTTATACGACCTAATTTATTGAGCGGTTCGACTTCCCCAGGCGCTGCATTCCACCTGCACCAGCGGAATGAAGTCGATCCAGGGCAGTGTCTTTTGGATGGCACCAGAGGCACCAGGGGCCGGAGGGAAACAGCTGGGAGCTGGCTGGCAGCTGGGAGGCAGATACCATTTATGCCTTGAAGATGTTAGGGAAAAGGTCCTGAATTTCGGAAATTGGATGGGCTTATCATGGTTTATCGGCCAAAATTCAGACACACCCATTTGACTGGGAAGAGCAGCATTTTCTCAGGTGATGAAGTACAAAGCCGGCCGGCGGTCTGTGGGCGGCCCCGGATGTAGTCCCAGGAACACCAAACATGGAAAGGGATTGGTTCTGTAGATTTTCCCTTAAACCAATCCCATGAAACATGGGTTTAGGGATTTCTGGTAATTGTGGGACGGTCCCAAGAATCCAAAATCATCACTCGACCCCAAACCTCCAGTGAACCATTTGATGTGTGGAACCAGAATCATCACAGGGTAAAAGGACCAACCTGTCATCACTTCAGTTTCTGTTTGCGGGGTGCACCTTAGGCATTGGAGCAGCCATCTATCTCCGCCACATTTGTTACAAGAAAGGCTGCCTAAAAATTGATGGGCTGGTTGTGCAAAGTAATCACTTCTTCAGGTTTGGAGGCCCTAAACATCATTTTACTATTTACATTTTTTGAACAACCATATAAGGCATACTGCATTCTGCTGCCACATATAAAATTTATGTTTATCAAATCATGTCTTTGTCTTGTTTTTTTAATCAACCCCGGGATAGTCGAAATGAAGTTGGAATCCAGCCATGGCCGCCATGGCCGACCGAGGATATCTGGAGTTTGGGCTGTACCGTGATCGAAATGATCACCGCAGAGGCCTCACCAGTGGTGCGACAGAAACTGCTGTAGCAGCACTGTAGCCTCTTGAAACTTGGGGGGTATGATGGGTGTGAGTCAACTATGGCTGTACTATGGCTTTTTGAGGTTAAAGAAAAGAGCCCAGAGATGCATGGACTCCGGGTCCAGAAACCGCGATCACCTGAAGAATGAAATTGGCAATGTCTAGATGGATACTGGATATCCATGGAATACAGATACAAATGGATATAATATTAATCATATCTATTATATCTAAAGGAATATTGGAACTGTATCGCAAGATGCCTATCCAATCAGTGAATCTGCGGTTTTCGTCGCGCAGGCGCCTTGGCCCAATCTCAGGCGTGGACAATCCCATCATTCCCATGTTTCATGTACCAATCAGGATCCCTAAATCCTGAAAAAAAACGGGTTGTATCAGTTACATCACTTAAATTTCACCAGTTGATGTCTGCTTGGGTTCGAAAATTTCTAGCGATTTCTGAAGAATTGGGTTTCAGAACTTTCTAAATGGATTTGTTTCAACTTTCTAAATATGCGTTCATATAACTTTCATGAAACAAATACATGGAGAAATCCAACAGACACTTTCAACTAAGTTGACTTAAGTTCATGAGATTTCGATTTAATGAACTTTTTTTGTTTTTGGCTAGTCTATGGTTTATATCAATGGTTTATCTCAGAAACTGGCCAACTGGATTCTCCGATCGTCGTTGAAACCGTTGTACGTGGTGAATCCCAGGGAGGTGAAGATGCCGGTGACGGAGATGATGCGGCGCATCGTGGACAGCGAAGAGGATGGATCCCCAGGGGTGTTTTTCAGCAGACTTTTTCAATGGTTGGATGTCATGAAAAATGGTGTTGTCACGGCGATTTCATCATCAAAAATGATGATTTCCATGGGATTTCTATGGATTTATGGCATCAAAAATGGTGATTTCATGGGAATTGACCAGTAAAAATGGTGATTCTATCGGATTTAACCTAATATTTACCATATTTACTTGGTGATTTGATAGGATTGATGTCATCAAACATGGTGATTTCAGTATACGAGAAATTGGGATGTAAAGGGCAATGGGTGATATCGGGATAGCTGCGAAAATGAAAGGAGCTTGGAGATCCAGTGTGATCTTTGCTCATCGCTTCTCAAGTTGGGATGTGGGGCTCAAGAACTGTCCCTCCAATCTAATATGGCAGCATGTCGTGCCTCAATAATGAGTGCAAATCCCCACATTGGATGTTGTTGGTTGAATCAGGTATCCTTTTTCTATCTTCTAACCGTACTGCACTTGAAGAAAGATCTTGATATTGTAGAACATATCTTACGGAACAAGTCGTTTTTTTTCAATCCAGATCTCCCCAAAAACACACATACAATAATATGTATATATATATATACAGTATATATATATACAGTATATATATACAGTATATATATACAGTGTATATATATATATACAGTATATATATATATATATACAGTATATATATACAGTATATATATATATACAGTATATATATACAGTATATATATATACAGTATATATATATACAGTATATATATATACAGTATATATATATACAGTGTATATATATATACAGTATATATATATATACATTATATATATACAGTATATATATATATATCTGTATATATATATATATATATTATACATACATAATATAGATACACATCTAAATATGTATATATGATTATGATAGCTACATATACATGAGATAAGCATAGAGAAGCCATGTCCATTGCTCCATGCCCAGGTTCCGCCTTTGCCGGAGAAGATCCCCAGCGACTGTCGAAGCTTCCTGGAGCCGGGCGACTCAAAATTGGCGACTTCACCAGCCACGGAGGGATTTTTTGTCCGCCAACAGAAAGATACCACAGGGTTTACCCTCTGGTAAACATACAAAAAGCTATTGAAAATGGCCATTTATAGTGGATTTTCTATGATTTTCCCATTAAAAATGATGAATTTCCATAGTTATGTTAGTTTACCAGAGGGTAAAACATGTTTCAGCACCGAAGATTTGGACATTTCCATCATTTCCATGAGAAAAAGAAAAGGCTGGATTTGATGATTTGATCAACAAGAGTAACAAGAGGGTGGCATTAACGAAGAAAGTATGTTAATTTCCGGTGAAACACGTGGTTTTACTCTTTGGTAGATCTGTATAAGAAAGCAATGGACCATCGCTATTCGGAATAGGACAATCAACTCTGAATGATGGACTTTCCAGCCAGCCATGATTTGTGGTTTCAACAAAGTATCTCTGATCTCAGGTTTGTGTTAGCGTATTCACGTGCATATTGATGTTCTTGTCTATGTGGAATGATCTTAATCCTTATTGCCAGCTTCAGTTAACGTGGTAAATCCAATCATAGACCAGAATTCTTTCAAAGTTTTCTTCAACCATAAATAGCTAAATGGATCCAAGCGGCTCCAAATGGGCAACTTAAACCTAGGTAAAAGAACAGAACCATTTAGAATTGTAAAATGTTGTTCCAATACCCATTGCTTCATTCAAAACGAATCTCTAAAAATACAGACACATACTCCGAACATATATCTAAAACATCGTTAAAACATCATTGAAACTAAAACATGCTAAAAGCACCCTAGCAATCGAGTTCTTCTTGGCTTGTCCGGTCCACATTTTGCTTCAGCCGCCCAGGAAGACCTTGGTGCGGGACCACATGAAGCGACCCTACGCCGATCGCCTGTTGCACCACCGCTTCGTGGCGGAGATCTGACATCCACCAAGATCAATGTTTCTGAAATCATTTCTAAGGTCTATGAACATATAGTTCTTCAAATATGTTCAAATGTGTTTTTTTTTGGCGGGGGGAATGACTTTCAGCTGCAAAAATCTGAAATCCCTGAAATCCTTATGACCTCGGTTCCTGGATTTTGGAGGAGCCGGCGGCGGGGTCTCCGGCGGCGGGCACCGTTGGGGCACCCGTTGGGTGATGGGTCAAAGCTGTTTTGATCCCCTGCAGTGGAAACAGAATTTCCATCTACTCAAAGAAACTTATATTAATATGATATTAATATGCAAAGAGACATCCTCCTGGGTTTGAGGTTTTCCCCTTATCCGTTTTTCTCGTATCCCTTTCCTTCTAATGAACGCTTTGCTTGCTGGAGACTGTTGCTTCGTTGCTGTTTCAGATTGGCAAATCTGCCTTGGAAGGAATTGGTTTCGACCCAGAGCCGGATGTAGGCTTTTAAGAGGAATTCAAGGACTGCTGTGCCACAGCACTCTGCTTTGGCTTAAATCCATCTGTCAATCCTTGCGAACCAACGCGGTCTCTTTATCCATCCATCTATAATCTTTTACTACAACCTTATTTCTACCTTCTAATCCCTTCCCCTAATCATACGCCCACAGGAACCTTGGTTGAGTGGATATGTTCGAGGGAGATGGGACTATACAGATCTATACAGTATCCACGCATGGTAATCAAGAATGGTATGTGAACCCATTTCCGCAGCTCATGTTATGATATATACGTGCTTTAATGTGGCAACGCCAATCATAAACCATGCGCAATGTCACCAATGTTCGTTGTCGCCCCACCATCCAATCATAAAATCTTCACCATTAGCACCACCTTCCAGTGAAGTTGACCAACATGATCGGTTACCCTCTAGTAAACATTTACATAACTATGGAAAATCACCATGCTATTAATGGGTATATCAACTATTTCTATGGCCATTTTCCATAGCTTTTTGTATGTTTACCAGAGGCTAATCTTATCCACTGCTCTTTGCGAAGAATCCTGTCGATATCGACCATTGTATCATCAACTCAGCTTTTTGTATGTTTACCAGAGGCTATTTTCTTTGGTGTTTCCACCTTACCCAAGGGTTGGTGTTTGCTCGTCAGGCTGAGTCCTCTCCAACAAGTCCATCTGAAGCAGTGCTGAGTCCTTGAGGTGTGAGCCGAGGATGTCATGTGATAGGTTGTGCATATTAATTTATTATACAGTCATGACGTGTATATATATATGTATTATATATATATATGTATATTATATATATATATGTATATTATATATATACATATATATATACATATATATATATACATACATATATATACATATATATATGTATACATATTCTATGATTTGTGTATCTACTTATATCATATGTATACACTGTGTGCAATCGTTGAATCCAAGATGATAAGGTTATCTATAATCTATACTGCATGTGAATGTTTGTCCTTCACTTTGAGCCGGTCTTGGCGAGGCAACCCCGCTTGTTACAAGAACTGGGAACTGGCCATTTAGCTGTTGATATCCGAATGCCTATGTCTTGTACATGCACACTGATTTTCGATTTCAATCACACACGTATATATATATATATATATGACTATTACGCATGTATAACAATTATGTGTAATTATGTCTAATTCATTATAATTACAGTATATCAGATTGTAATATGCATTCCATTCCATTCCAATCCATTCCAAGCCGTTTCATTGCATTGCATTGTATTTCATTGATGCATATATATATATATGTATATATGTATATATATATATGTATATATATATGTATATATGTATATATATATGTATATATATATGTATATATATGTATATATATGTATATATATGTATATATATATGTATATATATATACATATATATATATGTACATATGTATCCATTACATCCGGAGTACCGTTGGCTGAATTCTCCGTCATCAACACCCTGGCTGCCACTCTGCCACTGGGATGCCACCGCGTGAAGTGGCGACGTGGCGACGTGGATCGCTGAAGGTGATCCCGACATGGACCGGGTGTCACGGGGCATGTCTTAAAGTTGTGAACCTAAGATCAACTGGAGGTATGTGAACCTAACTGGTTAATTGATGTTAATTGGGAGTATGCAAAAGCAACAAAAAAGATGAACAAAGTAGACTCAAGTGACTCAAGTCGGATTATATGTGACTCAATGGCCAAGTTCATGCCGTCTTCTCTCAAAACCATTCTGCCCGGGAGGTGGTTAATTGCACCAATGTATTTCCAACCGGAACGAGACTTTGAGACATGCCTCTCGGAAAGGAACATGCGAACCGGTCCGGAAGAAAGGGTGCCCGTTGAGTCTCCCCCGGACATCCGGAGTCACATTGGTCTTGAAGCTGGCCAGTGAATCAACTGATATTTGTCATCCCCACAACTAATATATGACTCATTGCGGCTAATTCTATACATATATATATTATATTATATATTATATATTGTATATAATATAAAATATAAAATATATAATATATAATATATAATATACAATATATAATATATAATATATAATATATAATAATTAATATATAATATATAATATATAATATAATAATTAATATATAATATATAATATACAATATATAATATACAATATATAATATAAAATATATAATATACATTTGTATAATATATAATATACAATATATAATATATAATATATAATATATAATATATAATATATAATATATAATATATAATATATAATATAATATATATATAATATATATATAATATACAATATATAATATATAATATATAATATATAATATATATAATATAATATATACAATATATAATATATAATATATAATATATATAATATAATATATATAATATATAATATATAATATATAATATATAATATATAATATATAATATATAATATATAATATAATATAATATCTATATATATAATATAAAATATATAATATATATATAGTATATATAAAACATATATAATATATATATATATTATACATTATACATTATATATTATATATTGTATATTATATATATTATATATAATATATATAATATATATATAATATATATAACATATATAATATATATATATATAATATAATATTTGATATTTAATATACATATATTTTTATAACACAATATAATACATTTTAATCTAATACAATACAATTTAATATATACACATATCCTCGGATTTTTTCCTCTCTAAGTGGAGTCCACGCCTATCTATTTTGTCCTTTTGCTGTCCCGTTAGGTGGGGTTCACAGCTGGCAAGACATGGCCTGGGTGGTGGGATGCCATGGAAAGCCAGCCTCTACAGACAGGATGAACTTGAGGAGAAGCGACCAGCTGGAGCTGAAAGGCATCTTGCAATCAGTGAAGGTAGATGGAAATGCTGGAAAACTTCAGGAAATCTTAAAGTCTCTGGCTGAGAAGAAAAAAGTACAAGTGATCTTTGTAACATTGGAGCTATTGCGGGACAAAGGCTTCGATTTCCATTCCAGCAACTATTTGGTCGGAATTTCAGCTTGTGCCAAGTCGAAACTGTGGCAGCATGCTTGCTTGCTATTTTCAAGTCTGCCCGAAGCAAAACTTCAGCCTAATGTCAAGAGCTTCAATGCAGCAGTGAGTGCTTGTGAGAAGGGCGGGCAGTGGCAGCAAGCTGCCAGCTACATTGCTCGAATGCCCTCTGCCAATATTCAGCCCAATGTGATCACCTACAGTTCTGGCATCAGTGCATGTGAGAAGGGAGGTCAATGGCAGCAAGCTCTGAACCTTTTCGATTCGATGCAAGAGGCGGGCGTGCAGCCAAATGTCATCACCTACAGTGCTGTCATCAGCGCTTTTGAAAAGGGTGGTCAATGGCAGCAGGCACTTAGCTTGTTCGATCACATGACGCAGGAAGATGTTCAGCCGGATGTGATTTGCTTCAATGCCGCCTTGAGTTCTTTGGAGAAGGGGAGTCAATGGCAACAGGCATGGGCCAAGACCGTTTCACTGGCTATGACCCCAAAAGAAACATGACATTCACAGTTCACTGTCCAGCATGTTATTCTCAAATCATGAGCCACCCCAAGAACATCCCAAGCAAAAGGCTGTCGAAGTACTACTATCCTATAATTTCTTGGGCTCCAAATTGAATATATCCAATGCCAAGCCAGGGTGATTCGCATGGAAGGATCACCCTTCTAGGCACTGAGCTTCTTCCACAACACGCAGATTTCAGGGCTTCAGCTGGATGTGGTTAGTTACAGCGCAGCCATCAGTGCTTGCGAAAAAGTTGGGCAATGGCAGCAGGCCCTATGGCTCTTTCATTCCATGCAGCTTCCGTCGACAAATGTTGGGCCCAATGTTGTGACCTTTAATGCAGTCATCAGTTCGTGTGAGAAGGGCCAGCAGTGGGAACAGGCGCTGAAGATCTTTGAAGGTATTGGCAAGATCCATTTGAAGCCCAGCATTGTGAGTTGCAACTCAGCCATCAGTGCCTGTGAGAAGTGCGGTCAATGGCAGGCGGCCTTGAGCTTGTTCCAGGCGATGGAGGGGGAGGTGAGTCCGGATGTGATCACCTTCAATGCCATCATCAGTTGCTGTGAGAAGGGCTGGAAGCCACGACTTGGCCTCGATCTGTTTCAGGCAATGCCGGAATATCTGGTGCAGCCGGATGTGTTCAGCTACAGCGCAGTGATCACGTCTTTTGAAAAGGCCAGTCAGTGGCAAAACGGTCTCAACCTCTTTGACCTTATGCCTGAAGCCCAGGTGTATCCAAATATTGTGACTTTCAACGCTGCCATCAACTGCTGCCAGAACGGGGGTCAATGGCAGCAGGCACTGAGGTTTTTCGGGATTTTGGCTGCATCTGGGGAGGCTGAGATTGTCAGCTACAGCGCAACCATCAGTTGTTGCGCGAACGTTGGGGAATGGCAACAGGCCCTAAGCTTATTCGAGGCCATGCTTCAGGGCAGCATTCGACCCAATGTCATCGCCTGCAATGCGGCCATCGATTCCTGTGAAAAGGGCCGACAGTGGCAGCTGGCGCTGAACTTTTTGGAACTGATGACACTTGGAGAACTGGAGCCAGATGTGATCAGCTTCAACTCGGCGATCCGCTGCCTGGAAGCTGGGTGTCAGTGGCAGAAGGCCTTGAAGCTGTGTCTAGTTGGTGATTTCAAAACGTTGCACATGAATTTATCTTCTTTCATAGTTATTTCCACCAAAATTGTATTGGATGTTGATTCCAAATTGACATAAATGTATATAAATGTGCAATAATTCTTGGGGCCGGGTAGCTCAACCAGGTTTGACGACATGCTTCAGCACGACATTGAGCCCAACCTGTTGAGTCACAGTGCGGCCGTAACTTGCAGCGGGACGTTCGGCCATTCCGGGCGGATCATCAGCCACTGTGGATTGTTGGAGAGCCAGATGCTCAGCGCGTTCTGGAGCAGCTGGAAAATGCCAGGGGTTGGAGTGGATGATGGGATGATTCAGTGGGATGATTCAGGTTGGTTTTCGATTTTTCTAAGTGGAATTTATAACATTTTATAACTTGATATTATGTCCGAGTCATTTTTTGGGCTTCATCGGGGACGCTGGAGCAATGGGGAGATGTTGGGATGATCAACCCAGGCTTCTGCCGAGGTTCAGTTCCATCCAGGCTTGTTGGGGTGTCATCATCCTTTTCTCTTTCAGATATTCCAAGCACGATGCAAGCTGTACGATTGAGAGGATAGTATAAGAAGATATATGAAGTATCAGTATAAGATAAAACACAAATAAACCTGGCGATGAAGGGTTTCTGCGGCCCTGTTTGGGGATCACCTTGGTTTTTCATGGAGGGCAATGTTATTTGCACTACCGGCTGTTTATGTCTACGCATACAAATGCATACAATATATAGCAATTCATTGCAAGGGGTTTCCACGCTGCTTTGGTTGCTGCTCTTGTGAAACTTGGTGTGGAACACATGCAAGTGAATGAATGGATCTTTGACCCACAACGGAGGTATTTCACCAAGAAATATATCGACATATTAGTTTGAACGAACAAACAAAGCACGGGGTTAGTCGAAACAAGTTGCGATTCAATGACCAGCTAATCACACTTCTAAACCACTCGCAGTATCACCAGCCCCGGTCCTTTTTCAAAGCATCAAATGCTGGCCAAATCAGCTCAAGATCAAGGTGATGAGTAGCAAGATGCGGCAAAGCATATGGCAGCTTCCGGGGCAACTAACGCCCGCAACCCCACCAAAAAAATCACTGGAGGTTACATAAAGTCTGAACATTTCAAGACCGTTTATCTCAAGGATTGGTTGGTTTATTCCTAGAGGTTCCGTCGAAAACTTTAACCGGGTTGTGCGCCTCGGTCGGCGGTGTCACTGCATCATGCCGACGGTGTTGCCAGTCATGTGTTCTTTATCATGTGCCGAGTGGGACACAGCGGCGCAGTGGTGAACTGTGGGGATTTCACCACCAAAATCGAGAATTTGAGGGTGCAGAACCACACAATTTATCCACATTTACGGATTTAATCAATCAACATGGGCCTGGACACACAAAGTTCCTGACCTTTTTTGCAAAACTATCCACATTTTTCGGGGAGGTCAATAGTTTTGAACCAATCCCAAATGGGGAGATTCGTTTTGAATGATAACAGTTGATAAAGAACCAATGAGACAAACATAGGGAAATTGAGCAGCAACAACTGGTAAATTGCCCGTGATAGTTTCTTTTTCCTATAACCGAGGAACCTCCCCAAAGCAGTGGTTTCCTACTGAAGTGGTTTGCGGATTTTTTTGGCATATCCATTGAATATATCTCCTCCATATTGGGCACCCGAATAATTACTCAGATATACCGTACCATTTTTCATCCAGTGAGTGACCAGAGTTGAGGTGGGCTATTGGGAATCTCCCAATCCTTGCAGCCTTTGGCTGCAGCCTTTGGCTGTAGAGAGTAAGACTCGTCCAACTCCTGCCTCAACATAGCCAGCGAACAGCGATACTTGAATGGCAGCAGGAATGGAAGCTAAGCTAATGTTGCAGTCAGCAATGAAAAACAACAGGCCATATGCTCTTCAGAAGACCTTGAAGTCATTGGGACAGGAGGATTCGGTGACTCTGTTCAATACTCTTGAAATGCTACAAAGAAATGATGCGATTGTGTTGGATGAACGTCACTTCACAGTGGGAGTTTCATCATGCGGAAGATCCGAATTGTGGCAGCATGCTTGTTGGCTTTTTGAAGCTATGCCCAAAGCAAACATCCAGCCTGACGTAATAAGCTTCACAGCAGCAGTCAGTGCATGCGAAAAGGCTGGGGAATGGCAGCACGCTCTCAGCTACATTGCGGCTATGAAAGTTGCAAGTATTCAGCCAAACGTGGTGAGCTACAGCGCAGCCACTGGTTCTTGCAAGAAGGGTGGTCAATGGCAGCAGGCCCTGAATGTGTTTGACAGCATGCAGCAAGTGGATGTTCGGCCAAACGTCATAACCTATAGCGCTACAATCTCTTCTTGCGAGCAAAGTGGTGCATGGCAACATGCACTGGCTTTGTTTCAAGCCATGCCACAGACAAAAGTACAGCCAAATGGCTTCACTTACAGCGCCGCAATCAGTTGTTGTGGAAAAGGTCTTGAGTGGCAAAGGGCTCTAATTTTGTTCCATAGCATGCCCGCGGCCGCGCTTCAACCCAACACCGTAGTTTGCAGTGCCATCATCTCTTCTTGCGAGAAGAGCGGAGAATGGCAGCAAGCGTTGAATCTGTTTGACTCCATGCCGGAATCGCATGTTGGTGCAGATGTAATCGTTTACAATTCGGTCATGAGTTCTTTGGAAAAAGGTAAGCAATGGCAGCTTGCTTTGAAATTCTTTGACAACATGTACGCTTCCAGTATGCAGCCGAACGTTATCACCTACAACGCAGCAATTAGTTGCTGTGAAAAGGGGGGTCAATGGGAGCAGGCATTGGCTTTGCTTGACGTGATGCAACAAGCAAAGCTTCAGCCAGACCCCTTTAGTTTCAACGCAGCCATTAGTTCTTGTGAAAAGTGCGGTCAATGGCAGCAGGCATTGGCTTTGTTTGAGGACATGCAGAAAAGGAAGACACATCCTGATGTCGTAACTTTCAATGCCACGATCAGTAGTTGTGACACCGGCTGGCAGCCAGAAATTGGACTGAAGTTGTTTGAGACGATCGCTCATGCCAGTGTCCAACCTGACATTGTGAGCTACGGTGCTGCTATGAGTTCTTGCAAACAGGGAGGTCACTGGGAGAAGGCACTGGCTTTGTGTGATGCCATACCCAATGCAAACTTGCAGCCCAACACCATAAGCTTCAATTCGGCCATCAGTTGTTGTCAGTTTGCGGGCCAATGGCAGCATGCACTGGTTTTGTTTCGATGCATGTTGGAAGTCTCCTGTCTGCCGGATGTTGTTAGCTTCAGTGCAGCCATCAGTTGTTGTGAGGAAAACGGCCGATGGCAAGAAACCCTGGGCCTGTTCGAGGCTATGCTCAAAGCGAATGTGCTTCCAAACATCGTCACTCTCAACTCAGCCATGAGTTCTTGCGAGAAGGCCCAACAGTGGGAGTTTGCTCTAGCATTTTTCAAGGCAATACCAAAAGCAAAAGCTTCACCCGACCGCATCAGTTTCGATGTGGTCATCACTGCTTGCAAGCACTCTGGGCATTGGCAGGTTGCTTTGAAGTTGTTTGAAGCCATGCGCATCTCAGAGCTGAAGCCAGATGTCGTCATCTACGATGTGGTTGTTAGTTGTTGTGAGAAATCCAAGGATTTCTATCGTATTCTCAGCATGTTTGATGTTGTGCAGATGTTCGCTCTTCGGGGTATCAGACACCGAGTTGGGCCGCAAAGAATGGTGCCGGATGGTGCTTGCGAAGGAGAGACATAGACAAATCTCAATACTTATAATACTTGACCAAGGGGCAATAGAAATTGGTCACGGAAATGGTGTTCAGATCAAGATCATGATTCTTGTCTGATGACAATGATGTCATTACATGATCATCGTCCATTTTAGATATATAATAATCTTGGAACTTCTTGGCATGAGCAGGGAGGGATGGGGAGGGATTTTTTTTTTCTGTAGATTGAACCACGAACAACAAAGCCTAATGCAACGGGGACTTCCAAACAACTGATACCTGAATGCAATGGTCAACATGTGGGCACTCGGGAATTATTTTCTGTTTTGCTGTCTTAATTCCAGACATTGCCTCTTGAAGCCCCTGGAATTTCAACATAGTTGCGCCATAGTCAGTCGTGATCTTATTGTACTCGCAGAATGATTCCAACCGACCGTTTGGGGATGATACTTACCAGCCATTTATATCATGATGATATTAGGGATGGTTCATTTTTTGTGTACCACACACCATTAATAGGGGTCCAAAAGGTCCCATGCAGCACCATGGTAGTACCCGAAATCTTGGCCCAGACGATCGCACCATGACTGTCAGAGTTTTTGGCCGGAACAGAATGGACGTCAGAAATCCGTTGCAGTCAGCATTGAAAGACAACAGGCCATATGCTCTTCAGAAGGCCTTGAAGTCATTGGGACAGGAGGATTCGGTGACTCTGTTCAATACTCTTGAAATGCTACAAAGAAATGAGGCGATTGTGTTGGATGAACGTCACTTCACAGTGGGAGTTTCATCATGCGGAAGATCTGAATTGTGGCAGCATGCTTGTTGGCTTTTTGAAGCTATGCCCAAAGCAAACATCCAGCCTGACGTGATAAGCTTCACAGCAGCAGTCAGTGCATGCGAAAAGGCTGGGGAATGGCAGCACGCTCTCAGCTACATTGCGGCTATGAAAGTTGCAAGTATTCAGCCAAACGTGGTGAGCTACAGTGCAGCCATTGGTTCTTGCAAGAAGGAAGGTCAATGGCAGCAGGCCCTGAATGTGTTTGACAGCATGCAGCAAGTGGGCATTTGGCCAAACGTCATAACCTATAGCGCTACCATCTCTTCTTGCGAGCAAAGTGGTGCATGGCAACATGCACTGGCTTTGTTTCAAGCCATGCCACAGACAAAAGTACAGCCAAATGGCTTCACTTACAGCGCCGCAATCAGTTGTTGTGGAAAAGGTCTTGAGTGGCAAAGGGCTCTAATTTTGTTCCATAGCATGCCCGCGGCCGCGCTTCAACCCAACACCGTAGTTTGCAGTGCCATCATCTCTTCTTGCGAGAAGAGCGGAGAATGGCAGCAAGCGTTGATTCTGTTTGACTCCATGCCGGAATCGCATGTTGGTGCAGATGTAATCGTTTACAATTCGGTCATGAGTTCTTTGGAAAAAGGTAAGCAATGGCAGCTTGCTTTGAAATTCTTTGACAACATGTACGCTTCCAGTATGCAGCCGAACGTTATCACCTACAACGCAGCAATCAGCTGCTGTGAAAAGGGGGGTCAATGGGAGCAGGCATTGGCTTTGCTTGACGTGATGCAACAAGCAAAGCTTCAGCCAGACCCCTTTAGTTTCAATGCAGCCATTAGTTCTTGTGAAAAGTGCGGTCAATGGCAGCAGGCATTGGCTTTGTTTGAGGACATGCAGAAAAGGAAGACACATCCTGATGTCGTAACTTTCAATGCCACGATCAGTAGTTGTGACACCGGCTGGCAGCCAGAAATTGGACTGAAGTTGTTTGAGACGATGGCTCATGCCAGTGTCCAACCTGACATTGTGAGCTACGGTGCTGCTATGAGTTCTTGCAAACAGGGACGTCACTGGGAGAAGGCACTGGCTTTGTGTGATGCCATACCCAATGCAAACTTGCAGCCCAACACCATAAGCTTCAATTCGGCCATCAGTTGTTGTCAGTTTGCGGGCCAATGGCAGCATGCACTGGCTTTGTTTCGATGCATGTTGGAAGTCTCCTGTCTGCCGGATGTTGTTAGCTTCAGTGCAGCCATCAGTTGTTGTGAGGAAAACGGCCGATGGCGAGAAACCCTGGGCCTGTTCGAGGCTATGCTCGAAGCGAATGTGCTTCCAAACATCGTCACTTTCAACTCAGCCATGAGTTCTTGCGAGAAGGCCCAACAGTGGGAGCTTGCTCTAGCATTTTTTCAGGCAATGCTAGTGGCAGAGATGGAGCCAAACGTAATCAGCTACACTGCAGCAATCTCCGCTTGTGAAAGGGCATCGGAATGGCAAGAGGCACGAGTGGGAATGAGGACTGTTAAGCTCACAACAAAGGTTTTGGCTACCGATCACCCAGACAAAAAAACCAGCTACAAAGGCAAGTGTATGGGGCACAACAAACATGACTGCATGTGGTTGGTGTCAATGGCTGGTATCAAACATGCTCGATTGTTGTTGCTTAACACTTCCGGACGCTTGGTTGTACCCGAAGTTGGAGTTGGTACGAGCTGTGAGTGGAGCCATAATGTGCACAATATCTGGGGTTAAAGCAGAGTAATCGGAACATCCCAACTAACATTTCCCCAATTTTATTTGTGTATCTCTATGTTTGGTAGCGGTAAACCCCATTTTTGGGTAGGTGGATTCCAAGTTTTGTTGGTCAATTCCGCATTCTGAATGGCTGGAACCCCCACTGATTCGATCTATTTGTTGTATTTGTTGATCAACAGTCCAAAGTCATCAGAAATCTCAGGATTATTCGCCAAACTGGGTTGTTAATTACATCATAATATGATATAATATGTATAATATAATAGACATATTCATATTATATACATATATGATATATGATGATATATGCATTATATATATATATATAAGATAACTCACAGAACCAATACACACAGACTCTATGATTCATTCTGATTCATATTCATTGAACGTTTTCGGCAGCATCTTGGAGGCCTTGGGCCTCTTCGATGCCTCGTTGATTGCCACGGTGCAGCCCGATGTGGTGATGGTCAACGCTGCCATGCGCGGCTACGGCGCAAAGCTCGGGAGTCTCGGTGGAGATCGGCCATATTACGGGTTGAATGGGGATACACTGCGGATCTGGTCGGGCAAGCATGAATTGGAAGAATTCATGGGATTTTTAAATGGTCAATTTCCGGGATTTCACCATCAAAAACTGGGGATTGCGCCAATTAAAACATGGAAATTACAATATGATCATGTACTGATGGATGGGGTAAGAAATTGGAATTGTGTATCTCAACACCTGGGTATCCAACAGGATATGGTGATGAAATGGATAGTGAGCCCTATATACATTTATAATTGGCAATTCACTTTTCATATGATGATTGTTAAATAATCATAAAAATGTATCATATGAGTTTGTATTGAAGGCATTGGCCATTTTTACACACTATTACAGTAGTGTAAAAGGACGGTTGTACTCCGATAGATTAAGTGGGCAATGTCACCATACAGAGGAGCTATGGGGAGGTTTGATCATGGCACACACACACAGGTATGGTTCACAATTTTGAACCCTCAAATTGCATGGTTGAATACCAAACATTTCAAAATTTGTGAGTTGAAGATTGTACCCCACATTTGAATACGTTTGAGCAAAACTCATGTGGTGATGTTTTTCCTTTCCAGGCTGAGTGGTTGATGACATGTGCCTCTAGATGATTTTTTGTTTTTGACTTGTACATCTTGTAGCTATTTTCAAGACAATTGTTCAAGATTTTGCAATCAATCCCCTTTGTCGTACAACTAAAGGGAACAATTGACATTCGCTGCTCAATGTGGTGCCGCCCACAAGGACCTCCGTGCGCATTTTCGAGGCGATGTCCCAGTGGACCGTCCAGCCTGATGTCTTCACGTACAGTGCAGCCATCAGTTCCTGTGGACAGTGGCAGATGGCGTTGAAGTTGTTTCACACCCTGCCTGAAGCAAAGATTCCACCAGATCTTGTGAGTTTCAGCAGCGTCATGACTTCCCTCCAGAAGTCTGTTTGTTGGCAAAGGGCCTTCAAACTCTTCGAAGTCATAAGAGAATCGCAGAGCGACACGGACGCTGATGTGGCGACTCTTGGAGTGGCCGTCAGATGTTGCGAGCTTGCCGGGGATTTCCCAGAAGCATGCAGCTTGTTGCAGTCAATGGGTGACATGACGCCTGGCAGCCTGGCAAGTTCCAGAAAAAGTGAGCGGCATGAAGCCTAAAGCCCTGCAAATTGTTCAATCTGGGGGTTTTCATGGGTTTTCCACAATGGGGTGTACCATGGTGTACCCCAAATCATCCAAGCCAGGCAGTGAGCGTCAAGGGCCGGGTGGGGCTCGCGTTGGATTTTGATTTAACGAAGACTCCAGCGCGCCTTGGGCAGCAGCGAACGGGGTAGCAGGCGGTCACCTGCAGACAGGACATTGGAGGACTTGACGGCTGGTGCTTTTACACTGAATCTACACTTTGTTTCTGGGATGATGTTCCTGATCAACGGTAAGCAATGTTTTTCAGAAACGAACAGCCAGCTGTTTTGTTTCTTTTCATTTTGAGCACATCTCCTATGACACAACTGTCACAGTCCTCTTACATGGTGTTGATGATGAGCGGCCCTTCAAAGTAGCTTGATATGTGTGTGTGTGGTTCAAACAGTGGATACCAAATGCCCCAGCAACTTTGTTTTCTAGTATTGATCATTTTTGACCAACACATTTCTGTACGGGCCAGCACTTTGGAGCCACACCAATATATTATATAGATCAAGAACACCAAAAAAGACGCTACTGGCTCTCCAGTTATCTCCAACCAGTAGTACTCAGTAGCGCACCTGTTGACCGAGGCCGGCTTATTTGGACACCAAGAAGAATCTGAGTCGCGGCTTGGTTTGTTGGTCCAGGGATGCAGAGGTCAGCTTGGTCTGCAGGCCATTACGATTTGTTTTGGGATAGGATCAAGGCTTTCAATCAAACCATCGACATGGTTTACACTAATAATTATATATATATACACATTACACATACATAACAATATGTATATATGCACACTAATATATATATATATACATATATATGTATGGTTTGCTCCAGCCCTGAGTCCCTGAGTGGTGTGAACTCGCAATGAACAGCTCTCCGTCCACTTGGGCATGAGGTGAGTACCGTGCGAATATTCGAGACTATCAGAACATGCTCATCAACCAGGTGCGATGGGCAGCTATCAGCCACAAAAAGGATCTCTTCCAAAGGAATGGAGTGTATTGGGATATTATTAGGATAGGGAGAGATGAATCTGAGTTGAGAGGTTGTGAGGGTTTCCTTAAGATAGTTAACCTGGGCTGAGCAGCTCTCATTTGGCTGGGATTGTGGTGTCTATTTGTCCCTGCCTCATTTCATTTCATTTCATTTCATTTCTTAAGCTGCAGAAATGCCATGATTTTTCAGTTCCTCCATCACTAAAAGTGATTCAGCATCAAAGAGTTCGGCTTGTCACAACATCTGAAAACTATTAGGGATTAACTACATTTAACTACCACCTGTACATTTCTGCATCTGGATAGGTCTGGTGAAATGATCCACATCGCTAACATGAAGCAGTTAACCACATCCACATCCAGACGGGTCGGTAAGCCAAACACTGGGCTTGTTTTTTCAGGATTAGGAGCTTTTGTTTAACAATCAAACACTGTTGACATCACTACTACCGTTCTCTCCTTTTGTCTCTCTCTCGCTCGTTCTCTATAGAGTTATTATAGAAATATTTTCTATATCATTACTGTAGGTTTAGTCTTTTATGATAATATCATATCAATTATATCATCACATCATGTCATTATCTATATCAATATATCATCACACTTTCACCAGATATGTCATCAGTTGTGATTATGACCGTAATAATTATACGTGATGATATTTAACCATATATTTCACAAGATATTTCACCATATCACCAAATAGGTAATTTATCATTATGAATTATGACCATAATTATCATTATCAGCAGATACTGTTATTTTTATTTTTTAATGATTATTATTGTTATTTTTGTTATTATTGTGATTATTCATGATATTTATGTTTATGGTTTTTATTTGTCTATTCATTGTTATTATTGGGGTATGTTAGACTAAAACAATAGCTAACACTAAATTATTTATCATAACACTAACCACTAATATGGTATGATAACCATAATAAATATAATTATGGTTATGTATTGTTACTATTATGGTTATCATCACTATATTCTGACCATCTCCGTGTCAGGTGCGCCTCTCCAACGACTTAGATCCCAGGCGCTGAAGGGTAGCCTTTGGTTATGTAACATTGCCATGGTATCGATGGCCCATTTATATCCCATTTATAGATGATAAACCATATGATGATTTAGCGGTTTGAAAGATGATGGTTTTCCAGTTTGTTACAAGAACCAGATGATTCCAATGAGACACCCGATTTATATTTGGATGCATTGATATAGTGGATACATCGCCTTTTTTCCGCTCCATTTATATTGGCTAGATGCGGCTAGGTATGGTTTTGCATGTTTTTACTGCATCCCAAATGGTAGAATTGGGAGATTGTGGTTTGTTGTTTTGGGTTTACCAACAAACATCTTATAGCTGTGAACTGCTTGTTTCACACATGCTTTACTTTCCATTCCAAGTCGGGATGATTCTACCCATGAAAATTCTCTTCCCGAAATTATTTACTGAGGGTTAAAACTCCATTTTTGGGAAGATGTCCCCTTAAAACCATCCCAAAAGTGTGTTCATGGTTTGTTCATGAGAAATCATCGAATTTCTTCGGACACTTCTTGGGACATTTCCATGTAAATCTATGGTTGCCGGTGATGTTCCCTTTCAAAACCGTCCAATGTTACGCCCCCAATGAGCCGCCCATGAGCCGCATCCCCTCCAGGAGATGGGAAGGCAACGGCTTTGCCGGCCATGTCCGTGACCCCGTTGGATCTATGGATTATTTGTTGATTTAATGGTGGTTGAATGGATTATGAATTATGATATATTATGATATATTATGATTGTTGTATGTTACTTTTTGCACATGTTGATAATGAATGATTTAATGAGATTGATCATCATCAAGAACGATATAATTATTGACAATGTTACGGATAATTATGCAATTTTCCATGGAATGGCGAACGATATCACTAATGTTAATCATATTCTGGTGAGTACCTCGGGCTAATATCTGATGCCCACCTTGGAGAATAGCGACCAATGTGGCAACCAGGGTACCAGGGGTTTGACCCATAAGTCTATCCTCATCCGAAGTGTGTGATTTTGGGGTCAACTCTATGTTGTTGCGTTGACTAAAGTTATCTACAGTTATTGTCAGAGGCTCAGCATTTGCCACCTTTCTGAGCTGTTGTTCTCAGGTCAGATTAGTATTTTAGTAGCCGTACTTCTCATCTCCCTTTCTGGCACATCTTAGGTGCTGTAGTGGACAAAATGTCCTTGGCGCATGATTGTGCGCTGGAAATATCAACATGTGGTCGGAGGCAGATGTGGCAGTCAGCCATGTCTTTGTTTCACAACATGTTGATGACTGACATACAGGCGGCGAGTGTCATGAGCTACAATATATCCATCACTTCATGCGACAGAGGCATGCAGTGGCAACAAGCACTGAAGTTGTTTGCGGGCATATGTGTTCGACATCTTAAGCCAGATGTTGTCAGCTACAATGCAGTGATTACTTCTTGCCAGAAGGGGATGCAACTGCAACTGGCTCGGAATTTATTTGCTGCCATGCCCAGAGGGTCCATCCAACCATCTATCATCAGTCACAATGCAGTCATCAGTGGCTTGGATTGGCCAGATGCCTTAGAATGGCTTGCCAAGATGTGCCAGAGCAGCATCCAGCCAGACGTTGTCAGCTTCGGTTCAACCATCAGCAGCTGCGGGAAAGCTATGCAATGGATTTTGGCCTCGGAGCTGTTTGCATCCATGCTGATTTTGACCATCCAAGCGAATGCCATCACCTACAATGCGGCCATCAATGCATGTGAGCAGGGCTCTGAATGGCAGCAGGCTCTGAATCTATTTTCTGTGATGGTGAGGATACAGCGAGATGTTGTAAGCTGGAATTCAACCATTAGTTCCTGTGAAAAGGGCATGCAGTGGCAGCTAGCCCTTAGTCTATTTGCAAGCATGCCAGTGTCACGGATTCAAACCACGGTTGTAAGCTACAATGCAGTCATCAGTTCCTATGAGAAAGGCTCAGAATGGCAGCAAGCCTTGAACTTATTTGGTGCAATGCCAGTGGCAAGCATCCAGCCAACAACAATAAGCTACAACACTTCCATAAGTTCATACGAGAAAGGCACGCAGTGGCAGCAGGCACTGGTATTATTTTCAGCCATGGATGGCAGAATCCAGCGAAGTTTGATCAGCTTCAATGCTTTTATTTCTTCATTGGAGAAAGGTTCCCAATGGCAGCAGGCTTTATCCAATGTCTTTCCGGGCACAGACAGCATTGACAGCATCAGACCAGATGTTGTCACTTGTAGTGCCGCCATGAGTGCGTGTGAAAAGCTTGGCCGTTGGGAGGAAGCCGTGATGCTCCTTGGAAGCATGGGAGAGTTGGACCTCAAGCCAAATATCATCAGCTTCAACGCAGTAATCAGTGCATGCGAGAAGGCCATGCGCTGGCAACATGCGTTGAGCTTCTTTGAGGACATACACAAGGCGAACATCACGCCAAATGTGGTGACCTTCAGCGCAGCCATCAGTGCGTGTGAGAAAGCGATGCAATGGCAACGAGCCACAACATTGTTTGGGGACATGCTTGCTGCCACGGTAGAGCCCAATGCGATCAGCTGCAGCGCAGCCATTAGTGCATGCGAAAAAGCCATGCAATGGCAAGAGGCATTGAGTTTGTTTGCACAGATGCTGACATCCTCGATCCAACCAAACGTCATCAGTTACAATGCAGCCATAAGTTCCTGTGAAAAGGGGCTGGAATGGCAACAAGCATTGAGTTTATTTGCGGCTATGCCGGTGTCGCAAATCCGACCAAGTATTGTCAGCTACAATGCGGCCATCAGTGCTTGTGAGAAAGGCTCTGTCTGGCAGCACGCCTCAAGTTTATTCTTTGCTATGCTGGCGGCGAGCATCCGGCCCAGCACCATCAGTCTAAATGCCGCCATGACGGCATGTGAGAGGTGCAGCCGCTGGCAGCAGGCCTTGAAGCTGTTTGATGGCCATGGCATCCGGCCCGATATGGTCAGCTGCAATGCAGCCATCAACTGCTGCGAGCAAGGCATGCAATGGCCTCGAGTTTCGAGGTTGCTTGCGGCGGTGGCCAAAATGGCACCTGTCACACTCAGTGCTGAGCGGGTTATCCCAGGATACCATTGAAGCCATCAGGTCAGAGAGCACTGAGAGTTGAGAACCACATTTCCCATTTACAAATGGGATAACCCGGATAACCCCACCAAACGGGTAGTCCCCCATGGCTACCTGCCCAGTTTTTTCAAGCGGAACGATCGTTTCACTGATGGCCCGAAAAGTTGGGCTCCTGTTTCTGGGGTCAGTCATAGGGATGTAAACAAAGTGATTTCCAACATTTTCCAACAATAGATATAGTCAATATTGTTGATTTATGGCCATCTATAGCATAAAATTCATTCATATAATTCATTATAATTCTATATTACATATACAATGCATATAATATCATATGATTGTCGCTGGGGATATCACGGCTTCTGCATTGTTTGGAGGGAACCAGGGAACACCTCTGGGAAACTTCCAGATCTGGGTTGCACAAGGATCTCCTTCCAACAGACAACACTACATCTCCTCGATGGATATGGCCTAGCCTCATCAACCACCCCCCAAAATATTCAAGAGATAGATGGTTAGAACTTCAGTATTCAACATTATATCATATATCATGCAATGACTCAGTAATGAGCCAGTGACAGTGTGAAAATGAGTGACTGGCTCATGACCACTTCGGGTGGACCTCTTGGTTCACTCTGCCATCCACAGAGGGAACCACCCTTCACCGGGCTAAGGTGCAGTATGTGCCCTACATTGGCACCGACCTCTTGCGACCCGGGGAGAAGATGGAGCGCGACATGCAGGCGCGAAAATGGGCTGGTTGGTGGGTTGCTGGTTGGAAAATGGGCTGATACTACGTATACTGTAGATAGAATGTGATGTATATATATATATGTATATATATATGTATAGATATATATATATATGTATATATATATGTATATATATATAATGAATTATATATATATACAACTGGGAATTGGGCATGTCGGAAGGTCAACACAAAGAGTTCACAAAATATGTTTCTTCTGTGAAACATGTTTTAGGTAGGGATGCAATATATACCTGTATGAATCCCGCAGCGGTTCTATCATTTTGCTAAAACGGGATCCCACACAAAAAGTCGGAACGATTAGTCCATATTATTCCGCCCTAGAATTTGGATGCTGACTTCTCCCCAGCTTCCATGTCGTTTCCCATATTGTCCATATATCCTCAGTGCTCCAAATACCCCAAAAAAGGCTTGGTGTTTCAGACCCCCAAAAACCAGCCCCGAATACAGTCTAAGGCTCGGTGTTTGGAGCTGTAGGCTATAATCCTATAATCTTCCCATGGGAAACCCCATGGTTTTCCAACATCTGTTCCCAGTACCGTAGTCAAATCCTGGGTGATTCACCCATATTGGGGGATGGTCATCAATCTATTGATGGTGTTTATATATCAAGCATATGGGATGGATGACCCACAACCCATATATTATGTTTTGATCATGGCACATACCCTCTGGCAAACCATGTTTGATTAGCAAAGATGCCTTAAAAGGTATCCTTACCATATACTTTCCACATATGTTTCCATATATTTTCCATGTTTCCACGTATTTTTCCATATATTTTCCAACGTTTCCAATCGCGCTTTTCTCCCAGCGCCCGAAAACGCTTCCCTGTGAGATCTCCACCATGGTGCGGGAGAGTGGGAAGCCGCTGAATGTGTCGCAGCCGGGGGATCTCAGGAAGGAGAGGGGAACAGTTTGGAAACTCAACAGAGATTGGATAGGAATATTCCCAATGGAATAATCTCTGGCAAATTTATCTGATCTTTGGTCAATTTATTATTAAACTTACAGATCTCTGGTAAACTTACAGTTTGCGAACTGGAAAATCCACCCACTTCTAATAGGTAAATCAACTATAAATGGAGTATTTAATTTCAAGGCTATGTTAAATTACCAGAGGGTAAGAAGACATATCCCCAATTCAGTATTCATGAAGATGCGAATAGATGTATATTACTCATGAGATTGAGGATATGAAGAACATGAATAATTGATCGGCATTCCCATTGATTAAGGATATTGATGATGCATTTGTCCTTTACATGACACGTTTTTTTGGGGATGGGTCATGGCACCCTGGTACCTTTTGTTCACCCCAAGTCATAGCTGGGTTGTAAATGGATGTGAATAACCCACTATAGTAATGGTACCTATAGGTATTTTTTCCATAGCCATATGATGTTGATATCAGAAATACAGGTTTTCCTTAAGGGAAACTGATGATCATCCCAGCATATCCCAGAGTGTAAAGGGCATAACCTCAGGGTTGTAAGGGACGTCCTAAACGGGGGGTCAGTGACGACTTTCTTTGGCCAAAATCACTCTTTTTAGAGGGTTGACCCCAATTTTTGCTGGGAAAAAAATATGAGGTGTTGAAATCATTCAACACCTTTTCTTGTTGGTTTCACACTTCACACACTATGACAATCCATCTTTATTCAACCCATTTTTGCTGCTGAATCAACCCCTCATTGTTTGGGGCCCTCAGGATGACACGTTCCGCCGGCGACTGGGCTGAAACGGAGGGGAGGATGGTTTTTGGATGGGTGCCTTTGATAGCATCATCTTTCGACACCAACCTGACCTAAGATAAGACCTCAACAAGTTCGTTTGAAACAGAAACATGTACCAAGTTTCCAGCAGGAAGTTCCTCTTCCATAGCCAGGGTGAAGCTCGATCGATCGGCGAGGTATGCTGGGCTTCACCCGGGCCCCAGAAGAGAAGGCCCGTCAGAAAGTCCGAGTGTGTTGAGAACCCCCCGTATTGCAATCTATGGTTTGTTTTTTTGGGAAACTGGGGCTTAAACGGAACAAACTACTTTTTTTTTTTCCCCCATCGTTTTTCATCCCATGAAAATCCATCAAATCTATTGAGGGGTTCCCTGTGAACAAGCAATCCTTCATCCAAATCCTATGTGCTTCAACTCCGTTTCCCAACGCAGGAGCGTGTGGCGCACGATGCCGCCATCCAAGCGACCCGTGATTTGAGGGAAGTGCCTCGGATTTCACCGAGAAAAAATGGGTGATTTCAGCAGGAACTAAGGATGGGGATATCTGTGGCTGATATATCCCCATCTGGGAATATCTGTGGCTAATGTCTGGAATGGGGATATATCAGCAAAGGAATGGGGATATCTGTGGCTGATGTTTGGATGCAACATTTTTCATCACAGGGATTTGCTGGATGTTTGACACCACTCAGCTGCTTCTTGGGGAGGATTGTCCCAGTACCGCGGTATGGGGCCAGGTTGCAAGCACGCTCCATCGCCAGGAGGATGGGTGCTAAACTCAGCTTTGGCAGGTCCCAGTAATCCAACATTCAACATTTCAAATGTGGATTTGGTCAAGGGTTCTGCAGGGCTTGTCTACTATTTTGGGGAGACATGGTGTAATGTAGCCAAACAGTCTTTTTTCGTGGCCATGCTGGATTCCATGAGGGTATCAGCCCGGTTTCACGGCTGAGCCGTGGAACCGTGGGCCACGGTTCGGGCTCCACGGTTTGGGCTCCACGGTTTCACTAATGGAAAGCGTTCCCCAAGCAGTGGTCTTGAAACCCATTTCACAACACTTTCGGGCACCCCAATTTTATAACACCAAACCCAAAGACAAAAACCTCAACTGAAGGTGTTGTGGGTTGAACTAGGGGCAGGTGTTGTGTCATGGTCATGGCTGCTGTGACTGCGGCTGCTATCTATCGATTTTCCCATTTTGATTGCTTGCAATGTTTCTGTCCTACCATTTTTCTTTCTTTCTTTCTTTCTGTCTTTCTTTCTACCTTCCTTTTTTCACTATTGTAAGATTGGTGAAGTTGCCAAACCAATCTGCAAGCAAGGCTCCCGAAGTCCCCGCTCGGCGCAAAAGCAAAGGTGCCCCCTTTTCGAAGGCTATGGCGCAGCCAGGTTGGTACCATTACCCACCCTAGTGGGATTTGAAGGGGAATTTGGGCCACATTGGCCAGATGAGAAAACAACATGTATGTATGAAACCAGGGTGCACGGCGTGCAACTCACACAGGAGAGAGAGTGCAGGCTTGGCACACCTGAAAGTGAAGTTAAAAGTAAAAACTCCTAAGCTCCATCAGCATATGGTCCAGTCAGCGGCCAGGCATTTGTGCCCTGATCTATGATCCAGGCTTCCAGTTCTCGCAGCAGGGTCGTTCCATGCCTGTCAGGGATGTGTGGTGTTGGTATCCCCGATGAGCATGTAGTGCAAGGTCGAAGCACTGTCACAGGGCTCCCAGGCGTTCCATATCTGGGCGCACCGGCTCTGTATGCCGGCAGGTCGGCACATTGAGGCTGAGAGTGCCAGGTGCCATCCATTTCCCAAATCAGGTCGCCCATGGGACAGATGTCCGCATGCTCCACCGCCTCAAGCAAGGCTCTCCTGCAGACAGGAATTGCAGCATCACGCTGCACATCTGCATCTTCCACAATTCGCCGGCGTCGTGCAAATTCTCGATACTGCTCTCGGACTCGCACATAGGTGTCTTCCATGCCACCCATCACGATAGCTAAGCCTCGGCTCTGTTGAACCTCATGGTAGGCTTCATCCCGAGCAGCTTGAAAACCAGCTTGATACGATTTCTCCATCTTGTGGTTCACGTACTTCTGGACCAAGTAGGCCGTGGCAGCCAGGAGCAGCAGGCCCAAAAACATCTTCCAAGAAACGATGTAGGCCAGCAAGCTCAAAAGGTTCGGCAAAATGCCGGTTTGGGACAAAATGTCCGTGGTGTAGGTGCGTATCCCATTGAGGATCGCTTCCGAATTTTCCATCATGTCCTTGGACTTTGAGAAGGCAACGTCCACATAGTCAAGCATGTCGTTGGTGTAGACCATGTAGGCATAGGCCTCCGTTGGCAGGTTCTCATCCACATTCTCATAGGTCTCGGTTGGCATGTTCTCATCTTCAGTCTCATAGGTCTCGTTTGGCATGTTCTCATCCACAGTCTCAAAGGTTTCACCAGGTTCAGCTTCTTCTTCCATCACATCTTCGTCGATCTTTCGCAGTCTCTTCGGAGGAGGTGCAGCATGAGCATCCATATTTTGCTGTCTCTCGGCAGCAGTCTTTTTCTTCGCAGCCACATAGCTCGGATCCCAGTAGAATCCAACTCTTCCATGACGAAGTCGTCCAGCTAGAAGTTGGCGCGCTGAGAGCTTTGTAAGTCCATCAGCCCATTGGCGCTCACTGCTAACCCATCTGAGCTCACCTTTAAGCTCCATGACCAACTCCTTGATGACTCTGATCTCGAGGGCAATTCTCCGATCTGTGACACTTGATGTCACCGATTCTCTATGGTAACTGTCGTAAGGGGCTTTGGCATCAGTCACCAAAACCGGTCGGAGACTGCTCTCCTGACCAAGCAAATCACCAAGCTTGCGGTTGGGGTTCTCCAGGTAGCTGTAGAACTTGCAGATGAAGTCAGTGGCATCTGCGGCTGATGCAGCGGCTTGTGCTTCAGCAGCTAAAGACGATCTCGCCACTCGTGGCAGCTTTAAAGATCTCCATTCCAAAAGGTGGAACCAGTCCTCAGTGTTGGTGAGGGTGTGCTCAGGCACGAGCATAACCATGTATCCACCTTGACTGCTTCCGTCAGGTCGAGCGCTGAACGATGCATCAAACATCGTCACCAGACGCAAGTTTTTGATATCACCCAGGGGCATAAACTGAAGCCCCACATCTGCATTTTCCTTGGCGAACTTGAGGGTGCGGTTCAGTTCGGTGATGGTGCTCACCTTTCCATTGTTGACCATTCCAGAGGTGATTGAAGTCGAAGCCTGCAAGTGGGGTGCACTCTGCA